ATCTTGGCAGTTCTTAGAAAGTAATAATGATATGGTTGATAGAAAAAGATAGAAATTGATTTAACACTGGAGCCAGGGGCGGCCATTTAGTGGGAGCTGACCGGGCAAGCAGGTGTAACGTAGCTGTCAAAAGCACATGTAGATTTCCGAACTCTCTCGTTTATCAAAAGATTTTCGCCTTGTCTGGTAATTTGAAATGAATAAAGGCTCCTTGGATGTTTTTGACTTCACCTTCAGACCAGATTCATGTAGTTCCTTGGAGCGTATACCAGTAGAATACAAAATTCTCACCGGCTTCTTTTTTCTGTTGATCCCACATATAAAGCATAAATCATGTATGAAAAAAATTAAAATTTGTGCTACAAATCATATCCATTGTAAATAAGGTCAATAAATCTATCAAAGGCAGAATGTATGTGATATGCTGCGTTTCTAATCCCAATAGTTTGCCATACAAAACGTAGTAAAGAGATCCCATAAATCAGGACTATCGTTTCAAGGTTTCTTTCCTGCTTTCATTGTTAGCAAGATGAAGATAGACAACCTTTAAGGAATAAATGGATAATCTTTGTGCAATCAATTTGACACTCCTGAAGTAAATAGCGAAAGTAATTGTCTGGAATTATCATTACGTAAAACTGCGGATCACATATTTCTGGATGGTTATCCAATATATTTGATTCAATTCAGAGGAAATTGGTCGTCTTTTTGAAAGACGTAATATTGTTTTACTGTTAGGAGTTATAAAGAATGGGAGATAGCTACAAAATGACATAATCAAATAAGACGTCCATATTGAAAAAAATCAGTAAATGTGGATTAGTCACCGGTATTGCAATTGCATATCCTGGTCGCCAAAGGCAGAGAAAGGGCAAAACATCAAAACTTAGATAACAGTTGCTGTAATATCATTCTGTGGTGTTTGCTCATCTATATATATATAAAAACATACATGTACTGCAGTTCGATTTATTGCCTTGGATTCCTTTAATGTCGGAAAATATCAACACTTAGGTTGGAAAGCCTTGATTATACAATTAACAGCCACAAATGTTTGCTTTCAAAGAAAATATTGAACTATTCAATATAATAAAATCTTTAAATTACCATACATTTCGGTTATTACAATTCTCTGTTTCAATCACTTCAATTGTTTTGCAGAATCTTTTTCGAAATACAAACGTTGCTATATTTGAAAGCACACTACTGGTACATGTATTGCAGGAGAAGAATTTGGAATGAAAACGCATTGCATGTATCTATAAAAATCGAATTGAATCAAAATTGAATTTCAAAAGTTTTCAGAAACAGTAAATGAAATCAAAATGAACTCACTTCTTGTGTTATGGCAAAGACATGTTTTAAAATGTGCTAGCCATCGGTATTTCTTCTAAGTTTAAATCAAGGTTTTTCGCGCATTTTACTAAAATACGCTGATTCGGTTATTAAAATAATTCTGAAACCTCCTACAATGCACTTTCAAGTAGCGCACATGTGTGTTTTAATTTTCATGATAGCATGCTTAACTCTCTGGTGGTGCCATACGGACATCTCGTAAATATAAATGAAAGTTTCTTACCATGGAATCGGTTTACATCGAACTGCATAAACATCAGATTTGTGCCCAACTGTTCTCAAGAAAGGATCGTATTCACATCTCACATAACGGTAAGACGTGGGCAGAACGTAATACTTCTTTCAAACACAAGAAACAGATGAACTGCTAGAGCGGTTTCGAGAAACACAGATATAAGTTTATCGAACGCCAAGTACAAAATACAAAGCTTTAGATGACGGGAGTTCCTGTTCACTTCGGGAATAAATGAAACCTAGTTTCGGTACGAACGGGTCTGATCACATTTGTAATGTGGAGTAAAGATTCTGAAAGCACATGTACCATGGCATACCTGTTTGTCCGATTATTTATAGTCACACATTGACGCTACAGGCAATTCTACAGCGTGTTTAAGCTGTTTTTGATGTGAACTGGTCTCTAGGATTTCCAACGTATCGCCGTATGCAACCGCAAACACGGGCTTTTAGGCGCTAACAGCCTTATTGAAGTCCACTGCGATGTATAAGATATCTCTAATAATGCCAAGGACACTAAGAGGACACCATGTGACATTGGGATATTGTAAAGACACCGTTTACAGTGACATTAGAGAAACCAGGACACTCAGAACCCCAGAGGCAAATTAAGCACGGATTGAGCGAGAGCCTTTAAGTCGATTATTTTACAACACGCTTTGGCGTTCCTGGCTTCTTGGAATGAACGTACAGTTATGTTAAATGTCATTAGAGACTTGGCTAAATGCGTGATTTTGGTACTGAGAGTGACAAGCAGGATGACCTCGAAGTGTATATCGTCCTCAATAAATCGGGCATTATTTGCCCTTTTGTGCTCGTAGTAGAAGAAGAGAAAAAAGCTTGATGTTAGAATACGTGAGCGATGTATACGTACCTGTACCTACGTCAGCATACTTCAAACAGAAAGATTGCATTTTTTTGTTATTTACAATAAAAACGGAGTAATATATAGTTGATTTTATATAACATGGGCTTTTTGGGAGATTTTTCGAGCATTTCTCTTTTCTCTTTTATCTTTACGTTATCCCATAATCATTCTCTCAGACATTATTATACGTTCATCAGATAATAAAGCACACCGGCACTAATCCCTATTAACTTAATCTAAAAGAGATTGGGATAGAGCACAGTTTTTCCTCATTTGTGTCAAGTTTATTTCTTTTCTGCCCCCATTGATGACCATTGAGGAAATAGGATTCTCGTGTTAAAACTAATGGCGACTGCCGCGTAAACCGCTAACTTCAATCATTGTGATTCTCTTTCTATTCTCCGTATTCAAGGCTTCATGACTTCTATTCTACTCAACCCTGGTAATCCTCCAGGGCCGCCCAGACCGAAAATGCTTCATTCATTTTGAGAAATTGCTTCGACTGTGTGAACATATTAGAACTTCTTTATCGTATTTATGCACAGCGACATTAAGATTTCGTTTTTTTATGAAACGGTAGTCTCCAACCAATGTCAAGGTTTTAATTCACCTCGGCGCCAAAAAGTCCCCTTTCGCCCGTGGTAAGAGAAACATGGCTGAAGTGAGGAAGTTCATATTCCTTAAAGTCCGTACAAGGCATATGTCTCAAATTAAAACCATATTCTAACAAGTATACAACTGTACTTTGTACGTTAAAGCGTGCCACAACCAATAGTTTGAACTCTTTCCTTTACCCTCCCCTAGTGTAATCTTCATATTTATCTTGATATGCTCCTGGCGTGCACAGGCAATTTTTTTAAAATTCTGTTTTTTTCCCTAAAATGACCATCGATTTTTTTGCTTTGTGATTTGTCTTTATATGACCCAAAGGGTGAAAAGTATGTTGAAATTGAACTTGGTGGTTTTTTGTTTTGAGTATTTTTGCTATTTTGAATGTCAACTGTGGGGGTTGACAGCTTTTGGCACTGGCGTTTGTCGTTGCGAAATGAACAGGCGAAATGTATTGAATTACAGCAACAATAACTGATGTGTTTTGATAAAAAAAAAACATTTTGAAAATAAATGTGCGGGGGAGAAGCATTTCCTCTAGCAGACGCGTTTCCAGGCAGCATGACGTAATGTTTTCCCGAGTGGGTGACTAACAGAAAATGATGGATCAGAGCGGCCAATGATCCCTTCCTGCGTGGGGCCGATGTAACAAAAAATGGCATATTTCAGTATATCTCATTTTAATATCATGCTTTAGTGGTAACGCATTGACAAAAGGGATTTTGTCGCACCTAACGCATTTCAGAAAAAAAAAATAAAACGAAATTAGTGATATTAGTCCATGTTACGCTTGTGAAAAATGAAATAGCGGCCAAGTCAAGTATAACATCGTTGAAACAGACATTTCTTGCGTGTCCATTTACAACGTGTAACTGAGATACCGGTAGTGCATTAATGAAACACAAAGAAATGACATCTATCGGTAACATGTTTTATTTCACGCTTTTACTTCCACCGAAGCGTCCAATCTTGTGAGTTGCGATTACAACTTCGAAGCCCCACAACCAGACAAATAATACAAAATAGCACAATAAACGCGCTCGTGATTCATAAGCAATCACAGTTAATTAGTCTGCTACGGCCCAATATGTGTTTCAACATTAAAACAGTATACATATACACATGTAGCATAGCATTTGAATCAAACCCATACACACTTGGAATTTTATTAATCCAAAATAAAGAAACAGGATCGTTTTGAATGCATTTATATATCCATATACCTTTATGTGCACCATGACGGCGAAGCCATGGAGAGAAGCCTATGAATATGCAAGTAAGTATATCGCCCAGGTTTGCAATAACCCTTGTATCCAAGGGAATGCTCTATAAAGAGCACATACACCTGATAATTGTGAGACAAGAACTCTAGACACATGTATACTGACGATATACCATCTACGGAATAAATACATTTTGTCTCCAAAAACAGATATACGGAAGTCGCCATTACAACATGGCTAAATACATGCATAACAATTACTGACCAAAATACATACCTTATGTACATGTACATATGAATGAGACCGTGTGTCCTTTTAAACCTTAATGTTGTTTTTTTTTTAATTTTGTTTCCCTTGAGTGTGTGTGATAAGGATAATTTCATTTTCTATACACTTTATGATGAATATCGTTACACTGTTTGCATCAAAGAGCATCGCCAAATATACATGTAGCTTACAGGAGATATATCCACTGAAGATCCTTTAAAACAATGCCAGAGAACAAAACCTTTTAAGAATATCCCTATTCCCTATGTACAGCTGTCGCTCTTGACTAACAGAAACGGTTAGCTCTACGAGGAGACCTATTAGGACTTGCTAAGTTCGCCCAGTTATTTTTTAAGTTCTACTACTGTGAACCCCTTCCCAAACTGGGCGACTTTTCCGTTGTCTTTGTCAGTTGGAGCTGTAGTCATTTCGATATGGGGTGACTATTCTAATTCCTTTTCATAAGGGGTGATAATTCTGTCGTCTTTTTTAAAAGGGTTCTCTATTTTATCTCTTCTAACTGATTTTTTCTCGTATGGTGCCACAATTCTTTTTCTGCTGTTTTGTTTATAAGGTAAATCTTTTTCATAAGGTAAGTCTTTTTCAAGCTGAGCATCATTGTTTCCTTTTCTTTTATACACATTCTCTTCAGCTGTTACCTTTGGATAGGGGAAATCTTCCTCAGAGGAACGCGCTTTCTCTCTCGAAAGAGTAGATTGTTTTGCACGAGCCACGGGGGCGCTTTCTCGGTAACGTGGTTCCTGCGGGATGACTTCCGGTTTCACAACATCAATGCGCCTTTCTCTTTGCTGGATGGGTGGCAAAAATTCTTCGAACTCCTTACGGCGGAGATGTGGGGCGCAGGTGGTCGAATGTCGGACACATTCTTTACGTTGGTTGTCCCATTCTAACCTTGCAGGGCAGTAGAAGGTGTGCATCACTGCGTGGCCGATATCCCGACCCTGATAACTGCAGCCGTAAAACTTTTGGCAGCTGTTAGGGTCCCCAGTAAATCCCGACTCCTGACACTGTATAGCTTGAATATAAAAGGTATATAGTATCATGGTTAACATCGTTATTACAATTCCAAGCCTTGTATCGTTTTATCTTTAAAGAACCATGCAACTCTTAAATTGTGGTCTAAATTGCGAAAAAGATTGAAGCTGAATCCAACTTGTTCATTTTGGATTTTGTTAGAGTTCATACGTACTTCTTGCGTTTTATATCTACAGTGGATATTGAATATCATCCATGTGGCCACCAATTAAAAAAAAAGAAAAAAATCGATGTTCTCCAAAACGTTCCCCTTAACAATACAATACATTACATCTCTTAACCGGCTTCGATGTTGACAGAATAACTGTATTAACAGAAGGTTTTACCATTGAACTGAATCGCCCTGCTGGAACCTCCATCTTGTCTGGGTTCCGAGCGTCCAACCGAAGGTACCAGTTCTGTTCGGGAAGAAGACCTCAAGCGTTTTGGATAGGGGAGCTGGTCGACTGTGTGGCCCTGAGCAGCACCCTGGCGAAATCTGTCTCCGTTGCCTGGGCGGACGTTGTGGTAAGGGTCATACTGACCGGAATGACTCTGTGCCCCAAGTCGTGGTCTTCCCAATGGCTCGGTTGGGTGAAAATACGGTTTGTAACCTAGTAGCAGATTCAAAATGCTTCCTTATATATGTGTGAATATCTCAATGAATCGGCGTCAACTCGAGCGCCTTTATGAGTGTCGACATTCCATTTACCCGGTCAACTAAGATCTGCACTGTACTACAGACTAACATTCGCACTAACCTTTAAGCATATTAATCAACACCACATACAAAATGAAGAACCTCCCAAAAAACAAAAAAAAAAAAAACATTTCACACAGGTCGACATAACGAGAGCTGAGGCGTCACTAACCTGGTCCACCCAGATCGGCCTCGGATTGGCCATTGCAGAAGTGTCCCGTGCAGAAGCACCAGTTCATGATCCTGCCGCCCCATTTCTGCGGCTTACAGCCGTTATAGTCTGCTGTCAGGGAGGGAATGCTGGACCAGCCGTCAAAACAGTCGCGAGATATAACTACAAATGGTGAATTAAATAGTCATATAATTAAAAAATGAAAGCAAGAAATGCAGATTGATAAATTTTAGTGTATACAAATTACCAGTTGAGATATTAAGGAATTATGCAAAATATATGTGTGTGTTTCTATTTATCAAGTTCCTGTTAATTAAACCAATATAATTCCGGTCCCTTTTATGAAATATATGTTGGGAAAGAAAAAGAAGAGTCAAAGTTCAATTGACACGTTTTGTATTTATTTATGTTTGAAGATTAGTGGTCTCTGATTTGTCAATATCACAACTGAGGTGTCTTCATATCTAAATGTGTAAAAAATATTAATACTTTATTTTTAAAGTTGGCTTTCTTTAAAAAAAATGAACAGCTTTCGTTGTTCTGTCTCTATGTGCAGTTTGCGGTGCTTGCAACATTTGTTTTCCCACGCGGCTTCATTCATTAAACACATCTGTTTTGTAGCATCTTGTTAATTTACAGATGGTGCCACGCTAATTTCATATGTGATATCACATAGGAATTTATGACATTTTATTACATGACATAAGAATACACCGCCCCCAAGATGAATATCTACATTTTTCATCTGATGAGGCGAGCGTCAATCTGAACATAATTGAAAAATATATCCGCCCATTTGAACATTGAAAATCACACAATTTTTCCATTACCTACGTCACTTTTGAAGTCAAGTTAATTTAGGTTTATCAAGTGTGGCCTAAAAGGATGGTATGATATTGTTGGTATCAAACGGATGTTAATATGTCGAAATAAACTTAAATGTGCAGCTATGTTATCTACTGTATCAAGGACAAAATTGGAGATATCATATTGACTTTTGGAGACCTAAGACATAAAATAATGGTGACACATAAGAATGATTTTCATTTATACGTGTATAAACGTGTCTATACCTTAACATTTCTTTAGGCTGCACGTGACATAAGAATGTATTATGTAAACGCTTTGTGTTCGTTAAGTGTAATTTTGTATGGCATGAATATTATTTTCGGTATGTTCATGCGATATTCATATCACATGTTAAATCCCCAGTCAACGACTTAATCTTGACAAAGCGTTTAAACTTACACAACCAGAGTGGATCCGCGGAATACCAGTTCCGCGAATCAAATATGGCTAACCCACTTGAAAGCTTGTCGCGTAATTCCGGAGGGGAATCTTTTCAGTGTTTAATATGCGACAAACTTTCAAGTGTGAAGGCCTTATTTGATCTTCGGACCTGTTAATCCGTGGATGAACTTGTTCTGAATACATCCTTACAGCTGAGAAATTGCATCACACACGAATTTGTGACAGCTAGATGTTAAAGTGAATATAAAATACAGGCATTACCTCCGTGTTCCTCGACCCTCAGAAAACACTTGGTGTGGCACTTGGTGATGTGCACCATGCCGTTGGCATTCTGCACCGTTTTGCCGCACATAGCGAACGAGCTGGAACACGAGTAGCAATGTATATACGCACTGCGGCCTCGCCCTGGGCCCTGGCCACGCAGATCTAGGCGGTTCTCATAACTCGATTGACGCTGTCCGTGTTGACCATGTTGTGGTCGTTGGTCGTTTAAACGATACGGGTTGCTATATTTTGTGGCAACGTTGCGTCTGTTGTTGGTATAGCGATCAGGCTCACGGTCAGCACCGGTGTTTTGTATTTGGTGGCCATCACGTTCCAATCCACGAAACTCGGTGTCGGTCTCTACGGGGATTCTTTTACCGTCTTGTCGGTTGTATCGCTGTGATGCGTCGTACCTTTCGCCACTGGGTGTGTAGAACTCAGTTTTTGAGGCAGATTTGGTGTCGGGAAGAGAAGGTTTCTTTTTTTCTGTCGCATATATTTCGTCATCGTCGCTTTTGTCATAATTATCAAAGCTTTCGAGGCCTGGGAAAGGCGAAAGGAAAAGAAAACACATAAAAGCAGGCAATTGTTTTGTTTTCTTAAGATAAAATATATAAACGTTCCCCATCTAGTACTTGTTACCAACTGTGACTAAGTCTAATGTTTTCCCAACATCTGTTTAAGAAAATTTAATATTTCAGCAAACTTAATTTAATCTCAATAGCCCACAGGTATTATTATGTAAAACTTACCCACATCGCCTGACGTTACTACAGTGCAACAAATCCCAAGCCATAATACAAAGAAATGGAGTTCCATAATGAAACGCTCAGGTAAATTGTTACGCTATAATACTCCAGTCTTGAAATAAAGACTGAAGGACTGACTCGCTGGTCCAAGGATGTTATGTGCTGGTCGCTCTATATGTCATAGGAGAAATGTGCATCTGACACGGGCCTAGGTGACACGCCACTTAATGCAAATGAGATTAAATCGATGATTTTCTTCCCATATGTTGCTTGTCGTTGTAATTATAAAATACGTCAATGCATGTTAATTAGACAAACAGAAGTCACAGCGGATTGGGTATGTATTAAAATGAGTTCTAGATATGATAAGCTATTGAATTAAAAAATCAATTTCGGATGATAACGAAGTTAAAATCTATTTTCAGATTGGTGTTTATTATAGTATTGTGTTTTACGTTGTTTTTCAACGATATAACGCGCTGTTTGCATATCAAAAACCGTGAGATATAAAGGGTCAAATTGACCATTTACACGTCATGTGGTAGATTTTTTTTTCACAATATGTTACAAATATCCTCATAGCTGGTTTTAATAAGAATTTCCGTGGAAACCACAATTGAATGCTCCTTGGAGATCTGACCAATGAAAAGTGCATTTGTTTTGCAGTTAAAAGACATTTAAGCACGGCTGAGAAGAGCCTTTCTAAGTTGTTAAACTGACAGGATAAAATTGGCGGTAGGTGTACCTTTCGAAATTTACACTTTCGTACTCGGGCCAGATCAATTACATTTTTGTAACAGTTGAATTTTTGTAAGTTCCAGTCGTGTTACTTGGATTGATAATAATAATTACTTTGTAATCACTTTGAATTTACCATGACTTAAGCGAGTTAACGTGCATCAGCTGTTTCAAGGCGTGATAACATAACGATCACCATATTGACATAACGTTTAAAGCGATTAGGTTAATTATCGTAACAGTAAAGCGTCTGCAATTATCAGTACATCAAAGCAATCTCACAATCTCACAAAGCAATCTACGGTACAGGTAATTTGAGGTTTTTTTTCAATAACAAAATGAGTTTTGTCCTCATACATTATTATTTGGGCGTTTTCGTTTTGTACAACGTGACGCACGTAGTTAACACCACGTGACCTGTGTCTAATGGAAGTATAACCATCCAAGGTATGTGACTTCGCTGTACAAACTTGGACGGCAGCTGGTCGTATTTTTAATAACGGAAAGGGTGGGGCTGAAACTAAATGAACTCTTCAGTGTATCGACACATCGCGGTGCAGTCTGCCAGCCGCACGAGCCTCTGATAGCCTTAGCTGCCTTATAATTTTTCAGTTTTTGAGATATTGGAAGTGGCATTGGATATTTTGGTCTAATTTGGAAGGAGCATAATAAAGGTAGGGCTCTGCTGTTTTTAGTGAAAACAGTTATGTATATAATTGTTATTCTTACCTGTATATAATGGGAGTGAGGTATGGCGTGCCACAAGGAAAACATTTAATGAATACTGGCAGCCGTAAATGTTGGTGTCTCTTTTTCTCGGTTATCTTATCATATTAAGTATCTTACCTGCAGTGCCTTCTTGTATTTCTATTCCATTTATAACAGGATGCACGAGGGTTTTTATCTAATCACAAGCACCTGTGTTTTTGTTTTTGATATAGTTTTAGTGAAAGTGGAACCGCTCTCGTGGTATACAATGGCCTACCGTTTTATAAAGAACATGCTAAAACAACATAATTAGAGCAATTAACAGGCATTGGGTCACTTTGTGTTAGCATGGAATGATAATCGTCTTTTAGAGGTTTAAGATGTACACAATCTGAATTAAAAAGAAATAAAAAACATTCATCTGCGTACGTGTACTCCTCCTCATGCCTTTAAGTATAATCATAGATTGTAGCAACTGCCACACAAATGTACATTTAAAATGAACAGTGGTTAAACTTTTTCTTTGAAAGTAGATTAATTAATATTAATATATTTTCATTATAATATATAATTCTATTGTTAATTTTTATCATAATTTATTATGTGAAAGATATGCCAAAGGCTAGTAGTACAAGTATTTAGACCCTTTATATCTTCAGATGGTGTGAATACAACTTGACGTTTACTGCATCTAATTATATCAATTGGGGGGCAATTAATAACAATTATGAATGCAAGGTATAAATACTATGCCATTAAGAAAAATATTATAACGACATAATATATTGATACTTTTGTGAGTTAGTGTTTTTCATTTCTTGATCAGTTGCTTCAGTAACTTGAATTTCTAAATTCTTCTCCTTTAAAAAAATTATTTTTTCATTTTTTTATTAATATGTTTTTTTTTCAATCTCCTGTTGATGCAGATTATTTTCTTTCAATAACTGATTACGAGTCCTGTATCTTTGAGAATGAAATGTGGATCCGTTTTCGTTTTAAAAAGTATCATTCAAGATGATGTCTATTTGGCACGAAAAAAAAAAAGATATTTCCTTTAATTAATTAATTAATTAATTAATTAATTAATTAATTAATTAATTTATTTATTTACTTTTTCCAGCATGGTGAGGTAAAAGCCCGTCCTACAACGCCGCCATGTCGTCGGTTATGGGCTCGATTCGTCACCGCGTTCAGCGGTTGGCAGACAGGTACGGAGCCCAGAGCGGCAACGAATCGGAACCGGAAGAACCTCATCTCAGCGATGGTCAGCAACTGTAAGTACTTCAGTAATGTCAGGTGAAGTGACATATATCGGTATTTTTTGGTTTTGATAAAGAATTTTTTTTTAAAATTATTTTTCTGTTGATAAGAGTGACAGGAACTATTGCTCTACTCATTTTTAATGTAATGTTGGTATCCCTTTTTTTTAGTTTAATATTCCTTACATTTTGCTAAGTTTGTTAACAAAATACGTCTTTCCCCTTCTCTGCCTGTAGGTTTGATTTTGGTGTTCTTCACTAAGTTGCGACACCTTAAAACACACTGAAATTATTCCTTAGTGTATTTCTTCTGGTTGTGATTCATTGCCTTTCAAAATGATAAAAACATGTCCAAAAGAATTGTTTATGTGTAATCTTATGTAGTCGCTGTTCAAAAAAGAGCACTAATCATTTCCAAGCGTTTTCATCATAAAACATTTCTTCATAGGTTCATTTTTCTTATTTCTAGGACGATGTCTAATGAAGCCTGGGACGTCTTCCAGACAGTATCACGTGACAGCGGCCATGTTGCCGGGGGTTGTTTCCAGACACCTCTGAAGATTATAAAGATTTGCGCGTACATGTTTTTCTTTACTGTAGCTGTGGCTTCTTTGTTCACCAGCAAAGTAACACTGTTAATGATGACAACCGGAGCAGGGGATACATTAAAGGTATATTTATAAACTGAGAAAAAATTGACACATCTAGTTCAGCAGTACATATCTTCACTTTATGACGCCACAAGTCGTTTGTAACTGCGCTAAATGATGTCATCAAACTAATTTAGATTACGATTTACATGACACCGCCCTGTTCACAATGTAGATTCCGGCCTTTATCGGTTGAGGTGCAGCTGTTTAACATAGAGCGGTTTACAGCAAGATACAAGTCTATTCATCCATACAAAAAGCTTGGTGTGTCTGGAATGGATGAGACAAATTGTTCAAAGAGGAGAGGACCATAATGCATGCGGTTGTACTTCAGATACCTGAACAGTCGGTTTATTTCTATGGTAGTTTGAATTAGGCCTAATTAAGTAAGTCGGTGTTTAACTTCTATTCTTAAAGGGCGTTTTACATACTCGCAAACCTGCACTATCCAAAACAATGGAATACGTAAAATATTCCTCGTCTCATGCAAAAGATAAAGCAGTCTCTTTAAATTAATTTGCTAATTGCCATCGTAACTTCTGTCTAGTTTGCGTGATCACAGTGCTTGTTGTGTAGCCTTTATCAATCTCAAAGGAGCCTTCCTACCTAGCGATTTGAAATTCCAGGAATGCGTCTGCTAGTAAAATGTCACATATGGTGTCGAGGAGTGGTCTCACCTGACATGACCCAATGGCATAACTGCTGTCATAAACACGAGCAACAGATGCTTATGTGAATTTTACCCTTTACTTGCGAATCAATTTAGTGAATAAATCCCGGCAGCTAAAAGTGTTTTGTTTTAGCTAAGATGCACAGGAGTATATCATAGATAGTTAACTTTTCAGTATCCCAAGCATTTTCATTTAATTTTCACTTATCTATTTATTTATTTATATATTACCAATAATTACCTCCAACAGACAGTATTTCATTTAACCTAAGATATATACATAACAAACGGACGGTTTTTTATATTTCAAACATTCTCACTTGATATTTATTTATCTATCTATTAATTTTTCTTCGGTTGTGAAGATACCTGAGGCAAACGGATTTTTTCAATGGTTGATCGAGGTGAGGGTACTGCTGACACGAGCCCTCTTCCCTCCCTTAAGCTACACTGATAACCCCTTCGTCCCCTACTTCTAAGAATCTTCCCCACTCAACTACACACACACACGCAGAGAGAGAGAGAGAGAGAGAACACCCGCTATTCACTCTGAATTGGACCATTTGCTCTACCGGTATACACTGTATGACTCTGTTTTCCATTTTAGAGTAAATACGAACGCGATCTGATTGTAGTTATGCTGGTGATCGCAGTCAGTATGCCAAACGTCTTCGTCTTCGTGGAGAGCCTTTTGAAATCCATGTTCGGTAATACCAGCTGGCCTTCTTTCGGGTCTATATTTGCAGTAAGTAACTCCTTTTCTAAGGATTGGAGGCTAACTGTATAAACTTTGATCATACGGGAAACCATTGATGTTATTTCAGAGTAAATTTACGAAAGTTATTCCATCTTGAAAGAATTTATTAAGGAAGTCGTAAACTTTAACTTGAATTCTTATTTAATTCACTTTGTATTGTTTTTCTTTTCAGATTATACTTACTGAAAGTTGCCACACATTCGGATTGTGTATATTTGTTTTCCGTGTGCTTCCAAAATTCGATATAATCCGGGCACTTTTACTTATGAATGCCTCGTGCTTCATCCCGGCACTCTTCAAACTTTTGTTTTCAAAAGTCGGGCGCGGACCAATTACGATAGTGTTTGACATTCTGGCCACTGTTATGCAAGCCTCCATGTTTTTCCTGGTCACGAGGTTCCTGACACGTGACAAGACAGCCCTGCAGGGGGTTTCAGAAGTCGCACAGGTTCCCGCTGCCCTCGTTCTGATATCAATCAGATATTGGGAAAACTATATCGACAGAGACATATTCAACATTCCTGTCCAGGCTTTTAAGCAATCGATTCGCCGTGGTCGATGTAAGTCATACATCATTGCAAGTCTGTGGAAGATCGGCCTGACGTTTGCATTTGCCTACATACTGATTCCGCATATGACGCCATTCGCTGACATTGTCCATAACATAAAGAACGAAACACTTTATCTTAATAAAACAAGCGCTACTGACGATGGAGGCGTGCTTTCCGCTGTTCCACCCGGTGACACGTATAATTACGATAACTATAATAACCTGCCAGCGACAGTTCCCGCTGCCCCCTCCAAAACCACCCCACGGACAATAGCCTTGTCACCGGCACCAACGAGCTTTGTCACGAACCCAGTAGATAACGACATCTATGGAAATAATATTGTCTCAAACACGGGATCCCCAGACTTATACTCGGACTATGATTTCGCCCCATTTGGCGGAAGGAGAAAACGGCAAGCAAACGGGACAGGTGAACCTACGAAGGATGTTGGCGGAGGGCAAGCGGGAGGGGACACAGCCCCGCCCGCCAACAGTGACGACACAAACTTCAACAACTACGATTATTATAACTACGACGAATACTACAATACCAAAGCGTCAGCGGCACCAGCGGAAATTGATGAGACGTTTCTCCGCTTCTTGCCACTGATTGTCCACGCGTTTTCTGGAGGTATTTGTTGGTATTTTGCAAGGTTATCCTGTAAGCTTTGTATGCAGCAATTTGGTTTTACATTCCCGCTGTCGTTATCGACGCCAGCGACCATGGGGATCTTTCTGTATTTGTGCTACGCCCAAGGATGGGGGAGGGTCTTACTGCCTGACCTAGACATTGGCTACTGGAAATGTACTGAAAGTTGGCACTCATCAACGTTCCCGTGGCAAATTGCTTGTGGATTGGGTCTGTGGTGGCTTTCACAACTTTGGGTTGCTTCTCACACGTGGTTTCCACGAAGTGAGAGGTTGGCAAAAGTAGAAAGGTAGGAAAAACATGTATTCGAACGCGTTCTAGTGATCGTGTCGTCATTATTTTATCTACTTTGAAATATCTGAAAAAAGAGGCGCTTAGATTCAAAAGTTACATTCACTTATATGCTATTTTCTGCTTAAAGTATTTCAGTTTAAACAAATTATCCATTCCGTCTTATTTTTTCCATAAAACATTACTACCTCACCCTTCAACTTTTCAGACTATTTGTCCTTCCTCAGTACTGCGGTATATTCTTAGAACAGTCCTTACTGCTAAACAGACGAAGGAACGACGAGGATGAGTTTGTGAAAGCAAATCGCCCGACAAAACTGAACATTGAACCCACGGCAGACGACAGTGCCTCCCAGGTGGACTCGGTGTCAGACGACCGCGGCTTCACGGCACGTGACCGCGTAAATTCCCGGATATACGTCTGCGCAACAATGTGGCACGAGACATCGAACGAAATGGTACAGATGTTGAAGTCTATCATGAGGTAAAAAGGTTTAAAGTGGACGTTTATAAAGACGATAGACAACCATAATTCTTTGGAAACTGTCACTAAAAACTAAACATCTTTCACACTTGCCTTTCTTTTGGGTCCGACTGTCCTTACGGTTTAGAAGCAGGGTTTAGAAGCAAATCGTTTTGCAATGTTTTACAGAATGTTAAGTAACAAGTCAGTTTAATATACCACTGTCGCTGTCTTTTTAGAATGGACGTTGACCAGAGTGCGAGGAGTAATGCTCAGGAATACTTCGGCATTACGGATCCCGACTTTTATGAATTTGAAGGTAAGTCTTTTTCAGATTTTGTCCATTATATTAGCGTTCGGAAATAAATATAGCACTTATTTTGTGCAAAATATGAAAAGAAAGTGCTAAATCGCCCAATGTGGGGCTCGAACCCACGACCCTGGGATTAAGAGTCCCATGCTCTACCGACTGAGCTAACCGGGCACTTGCTCTACCTTCTCTCTCAAAATTGAGCCCGCCGCCATGCCATAGTTGTCAGCAAACTTGAATGGTTCAAGCATTTATTTTGCAAATTATTTTCAATATTACGATTGCTCGTTTAGGATAGTGCTTCTATTAGATTTGGCTAATTTATAATTAACGGATTCATACGGTACATATAAACAAGTTATAACAGTTGTATACTATCCCCAGCCATTGTCGGAATTTTCTATCAATTTGCTGCTTCTCTTCGAGTTAATTTGCAATCATTTTTTTCGTTGCGTTTTATGATACTTCTGATGCCTTTTTTATCTTGCCTTTAAGACAGTAAATTAATAAATGTATTTCATATATACCCCGGTATATTATTTTAGTTAACTTAATATATATGCACATCACCATTTTCCTCATTGTCATCATCATCGTCATTATTATTATTATTATTATTATTATTATTATTATTATGCTGTTTTCAGCTCATGTGTTCTTTGATGATGCAATGGAAGACACAGCAGAGGGTGAGAAAGCCTGTAACATCTTCGTTAAACAGATGGTGGATGTCATAGAGTTGGCTGCAACGTAAGTTCCATCAAGGCGTACGTTGTGTTTTGCTTCATTTTTCAGCTTAAGTTCTTCTCAACTGCAAAGAGATCGTAATTTTTGGCTAAGGATAATAGTTAAATAACAGTCTAAAAGACATTGATAAATTCATGAAAGCACGAGTATTTAATAACACGTTTAATACGTTGCGCATATACATGTAACCCTGCAGTGCGGTTCCCTTGTGATAATAGTCCTATGCATTGTTCAGATTAAACCTAGATATAAGACCATGGACGACACATTTCAGCTGACCTTGTGATGTTATTTTAAAATTAAAATTCCTCTATCATCTCAAGGTCCATCCATCAGGCCGCCATGGTGATAGCGCCCCCTGTAAAGACACCCACGCCGTACGGCGGACGCTTGACCTGGACGCTCCCCGGGGGTAACCTGCTCTACGTGCACATCAAGGACAAGAACAAGATACGGCACAAGAAAAGGTGGTCGCAGGTAAATGACATGGTTGCAAGCTTATTTTAAACGTAATTATGTCAAAAATATCAGTTGTGTATTCGGTATGTTAATTTTACATGTACTAGGACCTGGTTTTTAAACTCGTCTTGTATATGTACGGCTGTGAGTAGTTCGATCTTGCCAAGTTTTCACTGCAGTGCATTTATCGGCTATAGCTGAATGCCTCTCTTATTGACGCGGAATAGTATACTGTTTTTAATAATGATATTGTAAGGAATATTTATAAATAATGTTAGCCATCACGACTCAGGCTCGTGGCCGGTGGGGGTGTGGTGTACGAATAAACCGCCCTTTTTTTCTGGAAAAGGGTCTGCTCTGGGTAAAATTGATCTAGGTAGGCCTACACGAAAGTTTCATGGTAAAAGATCCACTTCTTCACCACCACAACCCCTATAGGCATTCCTGAACATTTACCTGGTTCTCTCCCATAGGTAATGTACATGTACTACCTTTTGGGTTACCGTCTAATGGGCAACACGGATGAAGGTATATACTACGGTACGTCGGACGTTGGAGGTAATAAAGCCACGCAGCCTGACATGGACAATCCCATCTACCAGAGAAGTAGGATATTCCGCCATATGAATCACGTCCAGCGACTACAGGTGAAGTATGGTTTCCAGTCATTTTTTCTGTCTTTGTTATGTCTGTTTATTATACATGTATGAAGGTATTGACAGCTCTAAACCCATTGAGATTGGATATTACGAAGTTGTAGCTCAAATGAAGTGAATATAGGCCTACTGTAACAATAAGTTCGTCAATAAACAACCGCTATGTTTTAAAAGCTTGAAAGTCATTCTATCTGCACATGGAAGTTCGCATTCTAGCCTCCATTAAATATCTAAACACAGTTTTCATAAGAATCCGCTTGTTTTAGGCTGAGAACACATACTTGCTTACCCTGGACGGAGATATCGACTTCAAGGCAGAATCGGTCACTTTGCTGGTGGACAGGATGAAGAAGAACAAGAAAGTGGGAGCGGCTTGTGGACGTATTCATCCCATCGGCACTGGTACGAATGTGTGTGTGTGTGTGTGTGTGTGTGTGTGCTTGTGTGTGTGTGTGTGTGTGTGTGTTCGTTCATGTAACTGCAAAAGGGTTTTATACCACACACTGGTTTAACCCCCCTTGGCAGGAGTAAGGCATATGCTTTTAATACATGCATTTTGTTTTATGTAATCAACAGTGCCATTCACGAACAGGGATACGTATGTGTACGTACTCTCCCCTTTTAAAATCGAAGGGATGGGTTTAATTCAACGCTTAGGGCTCATTTTCAATAAAGTATTGTTCTACGTAGATCGACGCAACTCAGCGGGGACTAGCACTGAATGCGATCAATTCAACAGATTAACACGCCTCCTCTTGTTTCCAAAGTACTAGTATAATCACCAGCTTCTCTGTGTTCAACTCAACGCCATGAGGATGCGTGTTAATCTTTTAATCTTATTGCATTCAGCAAGAGTCCTCGCCGAATTGGATCGATCCACGTAGAACAATAGTTTCATTGAGTATTAACCCTTAGTTTTTTTCTTAAAAAAATTGTTGAGATCGCATGTGCTAATATGCTTTTCTGTAGGCCCCATGGTGTGGTATCAGAAGTTCGAGTACGCCATTGGTCACTGGCTGCAGAAGGCTGCCGAGCACATGCTGGGATGTGTACTGTGTAGCCCGGGCTGTTTCTCTCTGTTCAGAGGATCCGCCATCATGGATGACAACGTTATGCGCACGTACGCCACCAAGTCCACTGAGGCACGCCACTACGTGCAGTACGATCAAGGTAATCACGTCTAATATTTTTATTTATTTATTTATTTATTTATTTATTTATTTAATAGCAGTTTAACGCTTTTTTTGTACGTAAATTTTTCAAGTACTAATTTTTCAATTAGATTTGGATTTCCGGTGTTTGATGGCATCCCATCGGGCACTATCTAATTTAGTACAGGGCAAGATTTGTTTATTGGCACTGCTTGTACTGGTATGATGGAGGTTATTACAAATTAACTGTTGTGTTCTGTCCCTAGTACATTACTATAAAATGTTATGTCAGTATTTAGCACCACCAAGGTATCCCGGTATCTAGGAGACAAGGCACTTTGTGTGTACAGTAGTACTGTATTAATAATATTTTAGCATAATAGGTACTGGTAGATCCATACGTATGTGCGTCAAAGTCGTACACATTAACGCTTTTTTTATCCTTGAAAGAGTGTGTTGCACATGGTAGGCCCTATTGTTTCAATTTGTGAACACGTTTTAGGTGAAGACCGCTGGCTGTGCACTCTTCTCCTGCAGCAAGGCTACAAAGTGGAATACTGCGCAGCTGCCGACGCCTCAACCTACGCCCCTGAAACATTCCGGGAGTTCTACAACCAGCGCCGTCGTTGGATCCCGTCCACTCTGGCCAACATGATGGACCTGTTGTCCGACTACAACCACACCGTGGGGGTCAACGATAACATTTCGTACCTGTACATCTTCTACCAGGCTGTCGTCATGGGTGCCAGTCTGCTCGCGCCGGCCACCGTTATCCTCATGGTCGCGGGTGCCATCCATGTCGTCATTGGCGGGAACCTCTACTGGCTGTGGCTAGGCATATCCGTTGGTGCTGGAGTTTTCTTCATGATCGTCTGCTTTCGAAGTAAATCAGGGACGCAGATCACCGTGGCAGCCTATATGAGTACGTTTTACGCCATTCTCATGTTGGCCGTCACGGTCGGTATTGTGGTTCAGACGGCACAGGACACTTGGACCAGTCCAAACGCCATGTTCATCATTGTTCTGATAGGGATATTCCTCTTAGCCGGGCTGTTGCATCCTGAAGAATTCCTGTGTCTCGTTCCGGGAACGCTTTATTTTCTATGCATCCCGTCGGGTTTCTTGTTGCTGTTTATCTACTCGCTCGTGAACATGAACGTGGTCTCGTGGGGCACGAGGGAAATGCCGAAAGTGGACAGCAAGGATGAGCGGAAGGACCTGAAGGAACAGAAAGGAGGATGCGGCTCATCGAAGGATTTCCTCTGCAACTTCTGCTGCTGTATCAAAAGGAAGATCAGCAATATGTTCGGCGCGACAGAATCGAACGCTCAGCAGGCTGTGCCGCAGAAGGAAGAGATAGTCAGAACTGTAATGGAAGAGCTCGAAAAAATAGAGGCCGCCACCAACAGGAGTGACCGGTCTGGAGGTAAGAGTTTGTAGTGTTTTGGTACAAGAACGGATTTAGGTAGGCGAAACTAAACTGCATGAAATGGGATACAGGAACTACCATAAGATCAGACTTGCCACAATAAAACTCAAAGGGAAAAACTTTCAAAATGACCAAAAGTAACCTTTTCGTTGTACATTTCCAAATTTATATAAAAAAGAACACGCAGGGGTTTTTCAGATAGTGAGAAATGGAATGTGTTCCCTTTGATACCTTTTGGTCCACAATCAATTAAGCCTCTAAATAAAATGTCAACAATTATATTCTCGGTTGTCAGACGTCTCCAACTTTCCTTTCCGTATATTTTAGGTTATGCTACCCCCAATGCCAGGACCTATATGACGACCGAAGAGGCCCGAAACCCGCCGCCAATGTTCGGTAGCAGCACGGAGCGCACCCAGAGCATCATCAGACAGCTGAACAGCATACACCGAGACATGAACCGACTTCCAGAAGATGACAACATAGACAAGTACAAGGATTCCGAGTCCATTTACGCAGCCGGCAGACCAACCTCCGCCTACAGGTAAATTATTAACAAGAATGTCCACCTCCTGCTATATATTATTTTTGTTTTACACTGGTGCGTTTTGGTATTTCTGACAAATGCTGTTCAAGATAATGTGTAATAAAACGATCTGACAAATTATCAATGAAACCCAAATTTGACCTAGGCTGGAACAGAATCTGAATGTTTTAAAGATTTTCACAAGTACCACTAAGTGCTTCAAACTGGATGTGCAAGGTAATGTCTTCTTACACCGTTCTGCTTTTTAAATAGGACATCAAATTACATTTCAGAGATCCTTACTATCACCACACCTCCAGCGAGCCTCGTATCCAGAGAGACGACCTAGTCAATCCATTTTGGATTACTGAGAAAGAGCTAAAGCGAGGTCCGGTGAGATATCTCGACAACAGTGAAACGCAATTTTGGCAAAAACTCATCGAGAAATATCTCTACCCGCTTAACCACGACAAAACGCACGAGAAGAAGATCAGCGTTGACCTAAAGCGCCTTCGCAACAACGCATCCTTCCTGTTCTTCATGCTGAACTTTCTTTGGTTGTTCATCATCTTTCTCCTGCAGATCGTCCAGGATCAGTTGAAAGAAACGCTCTACATCCGCGTTCCAAGGGCCAACGGGGAGGGCGAGCAGCGCCATTTTGAGCCTCTCAGCGTCGCCTTCCTTGTTTTCTTCGCTCTGATCATCCTGATCCAGTTCATCTCCATGTTGTTCCACAGGTACGGCACCTTCCTCCACATCCTTTCCTCCACCAGCCTCAGGTGCTGTAGCAAGAAGTACCAGCCCATAGGCGTGGAGGAGGTAGTCGACGCGGTCAAAGAGCTTCAGAAGATCCGCGGAACCGTCATGGACGAGGACATGGAGTCGCAGTACGATTTCCCAGACGTCGACATCGAAGATACCAACCCGGATATTGTCAGCTCCAGCGGGGTGGACAGCCAGAGACGCAAGCGCCCCAAACATTACTCAAACAAGACTCTAAAAGGGGCCTTTGTAAAGCGATACAACGCGCTGTCCAAGAGAAGCGTCAGTAACAAGGGGCAAAACCGACGTCCAGGCGTCGCTGAGGTCTTCGACAATATGGCGTTTGAGGACAATCTGTAGCTGTAGCACGCACAAATTTCTCTGCAATTTACTCACATTATCTGAGAGAATTCCCTTTGTTTAAAAAAGAAAACATATTTATATCTAGAATCTGCCTGCATAATTATTAAATTTATTATTCTTTTTACGCAAATGCTCAGGCATATGCCAACAGCCGAAGATGTACAGATACAATACGGATCTATAGAATTCCAGGGACACATCTTATATTATTCTCACATAAATAGTTGCTTTTGTTTTAACTACATTGTGCACAGGACTTCATAATATTTATATCATTTGTAGTGGAATGATCGCGTATCCTATTTATTCATTTTTTATCGATATTATAAACAACAAACTGCTTTTGGTTAAGTAATATATTGACAAAAACTACATAAGGCGAGTTGAAGATACTAATTAGAGACTGGTCCGTATTTACCTTATTTAAAGACCTAAGTAAAATCAATACGCGTAGACGTAGGTGAATTTCTTAAAGAAGGAGCTTTTATTTCAGTTATTTTCAATCGATATTATAAACAATAATTTAAGATGCCATAGCTGTTTAACGACATCGCAGTGATGTTTTGTAGAAGTAAAATATTGTTTTTGTCGGCATTTATGTTAGTACTGAGAGCAATTCAATTTTTTTAATGCGGACGTACGTCAAAGTTACCAGAGTAGCAAAAGCAACCAAGCCCATGTTGCCACCAAACAAAACGATAGTTTACAACTGTTTTGTTACCGAGAAGTTAACAGACTCTGATGGTGAGAAAGCTTGCATATTTTATTATGGAAAAAACTGCATGAAAGTGACCAGCGGCATCAATTGGACCAAATAGTTTAATTAAAGAGCTTAGAGTAAGTCATTTACCCTAATAATCAATTTTGAACTCTCTGCCACAGGCCATTTTAGCTGTTACAAAATCGGACGTCCACCATCTAACTTTGTATGAGCTATGGCAGCCGTAAAAGCACCTATGGTACACAACATAATATTAGTAAAGCATTCTATCCAATGAAAAGTCAAAAAGTGTGCATGAAACACTTTCACGCGACCTGGACCATCTGGATAACACATCTTAATAAATCGTGCCTTCGACGCCATCTGGGCCCTGAAAGGTATATGGAAAACCCATTTAGGATGAGAACGATTGTGCAAATTCAGTTCGCTAGTACCCGCTGTTTTGTGAAACGTTTACACAAACGAAGAAAACTACAGTAGCAAAAAGGTGATGCCTAGTGCTTCTTAATGTGGTAAATTACACAAATACATATGTGATGCAAAACTTTGGAGTAAATAAAAATTTAAAAACAAAATACGTGGCGGTGTCCTTATTTGGCTAACCTCGGGTAATTCCGTATCTCACTGAACGAAAACACCTTTATCAAAGTGTGTTTAAAGTTCCAAGTTCCATTTTCACTGTTGCGGAATACTAATATTAATAAGTACCAACACCAATCGGTTGTGCAACTGCCGTGTGACTTTAATTATACCATCATGCTAACCAAATCTAATTAGCCAAACGCCTTACATTTTAAGAAAACGAAATAAGTGAAACAATCAGTATTATCCATGGACATTGGCAAAAATGCTTCATTATATTCCCAAACGTTTTGGGGAAGAAAATGTGTGACTAGAACCTATTCCTAAGAAGTCAAAGCTAAGACCTATCATCACAATATAGAGTTACTTATAAACAGCTGCCAGCTTACAAGACTTATCGGACGGCACCTTGATTGGCGGGATTTTCAATCAGGTCATGTTACTGCAAAGTCCTATCTCAGTCGTTCCCGTGGACGCGTTTCGTATTTCATACATAACGTTTTCAACATACCCCAGGCTTCTCCAGTCATCACAGCTACTTGGGTCTGAAAAGAATCATATTACTTCTCATTAATGTATTAATTTTATATTAATACGTCGGCCACACCAAGAGGCATGGTGGACCACGCCCCCTCCCCCTCCCACGCGATTACATATGTGGTGTTTAAAACAGAGAGGTACAAATAAGCAACGCAAAGCCTTGCCTACACTCACTTTCTATATTCAAGGTCGTGCAGCGAAGCTCTCCGACATAAACATGCACATACTCCTGTTGCAAGTCCCCGGCCAAGCTCCGCAAATATCTAATAGGTAGTAACGCGCGTGTAGAGACAAAGCCTTCGTCACGGTGCCAATCTCCGTCCAGTGTGTCCGTATTGCAGTCCAGACCTAAAAGGAGAGAGAAATTAGTATTTTCATGTAACAGGCCCATAGCCAAGGGGTTCGGGAGGTTTTGAATGAACAACCCTTTTTTTTTGGTGGGAAAAGGTCCGCTCTGGGTAAAAAATTGATATTAGGATACGGATGTTTCATGGTATCGATTTATAACCGGATTAAACCATCTAAGACCCCATTCCCATAGACATCATCGGTCTAAGGGGATCTATCCAACTCTCTGGGGACTCTTGTTAAGTGCAAGCAGCTTAACTGAATATCACGGCTCCTCTTGTTTCCAACATACTCGTATAAATACCAGCTTTTCTGTATTCTACTTAACGTCAGTAGGAAGAGTGTCACTCAGTTGAGCTGATTGGAGCCGCGAGAGTCCCTGCATAGTTAGGTCGGTCCATGTAGACCGCTGGAGTCTACGGAAATGGGGCATACGCCTTTATGTCATTGACATCAAAAAGTGACATCAAAACTAGACCAGACGTGGGGTTCTACGGCGCGATGGGTAACACAAGAAGGTCGTCCCATGACGTCATCTTCTGGAACAACAAGTCCCCCAGTCCTGCCAACAAAAAGAAAGAATTCCGTACCATTTTCACAAATATTGTAGTGTCCACAAAAGCAAGGGGCGGAGGAATTGCCCAGTGTCCAGTAGGATTGGAATTCGTTACTCCCCGGCGCCCACTGTTGTAAAGTACCCGCCCCTGTGGCGTTGCGAAGCCTTAATCTTAAGTACTGGTGACAGTGGCCGGACAACTTGACTACTGGGGCGATCTGGAAGGGCGGGGTCCGATAGAGTATTGTGTTTGTAACGTCTCTGAAAATAATAATAATAATAATAATAATAATAATAATAATAATAATAATCAGATAAGTAAATGTGAGTAAAAATACAAATTGAAAAAAAAAAAAAATAAGTAAATAAAAACATGGTGATCCCCTGCAGTGTTGTATTCCAATAATCTATCTCATCACTGAATTTGACATTAAATAGATCTTTTCTACGCACACTTGTTGTCTTTTAAATTTGTTGTGTTAGGTTGTTAACAGCATTTACGGACAAAAAGTCTACTCACAATAATATAATAATAAAAGAATACCCCTAATCTACATTTAAAAAAAGAATCTCTGATTTCACAAAAACCTTACCCAGTTGATGCAGATTTCAGTGTCTTGCCCGGAGAAAATGTCAGCTCAAACACTGACAAGGGTGGTTCGTAGTCCATCTCACACCGGACTGAGAACGGCGGGAGGTAGCCGTAAGGGCCGTCCGTGTCTATGAGATACACAAACGAGGTGTTTTTTCCCTGTTCTTTGTGGTCTTTGCAAGAAGTTTCCTGGATTTCTGAAATAATAATAACGATAATAATAATATTCCTCCTGCCAGTTTAAATGCCGACCATGCTTTATCCCTCTTTTGTCTATCAGTCAGACGTGCACCTTGCCTTATTAAACAAGATTTATTTTAAAACTTTACAGTCTCTGAGGAGCAGTTTTAACAATTGTATCATACCACTCCAGATAACGGTCTTGTGCACCTCTAACGATGATCGAATTACGCTTTTCTGTAAATATTCGTTTCAATAAGGTGACTAAACAATAAAAGCTGTCAAATCTACTAATTCTAAGTATTTTAGTATCGATTTCCACTATTTTAGGTATTGTTCGTTTATTAATAGTTAGTTAAACAATGGATCAACGTGTTTCGAGTACAGTTGACTTAATGTTGTTAACCGTGACAACAATTATGCTTTCATGACAAATTACGCCATTGGAATCGAGTGTAGAAACGTAAATGAAAATAAATATCGATTGACATCTTCACAATCGTCTTCTTAATGACCAGGATCCAATGTCGGAAACGGTATGCCTGCTTTGAAAGTCAAATAGCAATGTGTTAATGCGTTTCACAAGATACATGAGGCGTGTTTATATATCCGAGTTGCGTCCACCCTTCTCTATGTGACCCAGCGTTGTGGTCCTTTCATATTAGACTTGACAATCAGAAGCAGCGAATGAAACCCCTTGGATTAATGTTAGACACTTAATCTGAAGCTATACGCGTGTCGTGGCCCATAAGAAAAGAGAGAGATGCCGTTTGCTGTCAGGGCAGAGCTAAACTAAGTCGGACCGTGCACCGTGTTGGGTCATACCGAGGAAAGTCGACCCAACTTGCATTGGTTGTGAACGCGTCTTGGGGTCGATTGAATGAAAGGCCCGTAGCCAGCAATTTTAAATCGAGGTGGGGTGGGTTCATTTTCTGAAAGAGTGGATCCTTTACCATGAAGCCGTCGTACACCTACACCTATCGTGCACCTACACACACTGGACAATAGAAGTGTCACCTCCTGAATCAGAGTAAACAAAGTTATAATGCCTGGTCTACTTATAATGTGACTAATGAGTATAAAACCGCTGTACCATGGAATTGTATTGTTGGTCTTTTTGTGAAATTTGATGTTAATAAAATGATACCAGGAGCATATCATTCCACAGTCATTTATCTCCCCAAAAGTATTGGTTCAAGTAGGGGTGACACTTCTATTGTCCAGTGTGTGTATATCAAATTTTGCACAGAGTGAACCTTTTACCGGCAAAAAGGGGGCTCCCCGACACCCCCCCCCCCCTCTGAACGCACATAGTTTCTACAAATTATTTGTTTCCATCGCCTCAATTCTTCCGAGACCTTACTGTAATCAATGATATTATATCATCTGTTGACGTTACATTGACATGTGATGACGAGAAATATTTCCTTTTATCTTACAATGAACGCAATTAATACAAGAACTTCTCACTTGCTGACTTTCAATAACAAAATCTTCTACAGTACGTAATCAAGAGTTATTATCTTTTCTTAGTAATATAAGATATCCTTGACAACATATCACAATAAGTGCTGATCATTGATGAGTCCATAAATGATTCTGTGGCTCTTTCTAAAGCGTGAACCAGGTAATTGCAGATAAGCAATTCCACTCCGGTGTAACGAAATTGAGGGTCTGTGTAACAGAAAGTCCGCCCTCCTTTTCGTTGTAATGGTTAGGGTTAGCCTGACCTAAGTGGGGGCGAGGCTTACCTGTATAAATTAATGGGACTCTCTATCACGGGGACTCTCTGTCACGTTACGCCGGTATTGCAATTTTTAAACAACTTCTTAAGCCTCAGCAGGGCGCCAGAACAGTGAGTTTATATTTTGAAATTATACGTGGGTATCTAACGCATGTGTACTTAATAGTAGAAAGCAATAGACTGGTTTGAGATCTTATTTATTCATTCATTTATCTTTTAAGGTATTTAAATATTTATTTATTTCCATATGCTTCATGCTATACTGATATAAATTAAATTATGAAGCATTTCTCTTTCGTATTTCTATTTTTCTTACATTTCTTATTCAATTATTATTGTATTTTTTTCCTTTTAAAAATTCGGTGGCACTTTCCCTTTGTGCGGTCTATCGTTTGCTTGTTGGTTCGCATTTCTCAGCCATCCTAAATAATTCTAGTATTTTGTATAAAACTGAAAGGAAATTCCCTAAATTACGCCTACTGCCCTCTTGAAAAAAAAAATTACGTCTCGCTTAACATAAATAAAATCATAATAAATTAATAAAATACAATAGAATTAAATGAATACGCACACACACACACACAAAAACATTTGACAACCCCGTATAGTCTGCATGCATTTCAAAAATTGTACATTAATTACCGCGTCAACAGAAATCACACGAAACTGAGGAAGAATTCATATCATGCAAATATCTATGCATTTATCCGTATAATCAATACCCTCCCGCTCCCCAGCGGAGTCAGACAAAACGGTGCCCGGTCAGTGATCATTTTTCAATGGTGCGCGACAACAGGAACAGACAGAGACCCTCTTTTCTTTGCTGTTTTTGATATACGTTTGACTTACATTGTTATGATACCTGACCGCTAGTATCAACACTAGAACCGAGCGAGTGAATTAAAACGCAGATTGTCACAACGGAAGAATATAATGTCACGCAAAGCACAGCGGATTTGATCAATGAAATTTCACAATTTTGTTCGTTAGAATGCATAGAATTTGATATCAAGTATTCATTGAAAGCATAAATATTGAACCCATGTTTTACAAAGTGGAAGATTCAAGTAGTGCAAAGGCTTCAAACGACGTTAGACACATTTTTTCTTAAATTGTCGATCACGCTATTGCTAGCCTTTCTGCAGTAGATCTTTTGATTTCTTTCCATCTCTAAATAAAGGCGGTAGTCGAATTCTATACATCAAAGTTGAGTGAATCATGCGCTCTGTGATCGTTGTGTTTGCCATTTTATATGACATAAACTGCAATGTTCAAAATATTCAAACTTAATCGATTTGTTTTTAAAATTTAAAAGAGTTGGGTATGAATTTCCGAGGTAAAAAATACAGATAGTTGGTTCATTTGTCACATTTACCAGAGAATTAAAATCTGACGAGTGGATGAATACAGTATATCAATAAGGAGCCGAAGAATATTCCAAACCACATTTGAATCCGTTCCATGGTGAATTACTACGGGAGAGATTGGAGAAAACGCCCCCTTTCTTTTAAAGAGAAAAAAAGGGCAAGCAATTTTTCAGCGTTATCCATTTTTCGTATCAGCATTCACCCACAAAAAGTTCACAGTCATTATATTATATTTTTAAAAGGGAAATACGAAGAAAGAGAGAGATTCCGAAATATGGAATATTTCGATGACTTTACGTTTTGCTTTTTTAATATTCACCCAATAAAATTGCCAATGGCCAACATTAAAAAAGAAAGAAAGAACCAGAGAGAGAAGTAAGGGGAAAGACAGAGAAAGAGAGAGAGCATCGAAATCTCACCCATCTGCCAATAGTCCCATCCCACTTCCTCAGTCAACGTAATATTTTCAGTGAAACTGTCAACAACTGGTATCTCACACATTCCAGTTGCCAGGTTATAGTTCGTCGCCGCGCACGTTGCCCCGTACTCGAATCTCCTTTGCCAACACCGTAACTGACAGTCCCCCAGCGCTGTTCTATGCTGGATGACGTAACGTCCTTCAACCGTCAGTCGGCGCCCTTCCATTTTTGTGAATTTCTGCATCCGAAATGTTGACTGGGAAAAGAAGACGTTGTTGACCATGAAAAATATGACAACTGCAACCCTGCCTGTCCTGAGATTTTCATAAGTAGATGCCATGGCCAGGTGAATATCGGTCTGCTGACATTAACAGCACGGTGTCTGTATTAACATAAAAATGTGGGCGATGAATTGTCGCACCTTCTGCCCTGTGCACTGATGAAATGACTAACGCCTCTCGAGCTTCAACTGAGCGCTGAGCACCGGAAGATAATTCTACTGATCAACAAGTTATTGCGCACGAACGCGCGAGTAAGTGCTGTGTGCTTCACATAAAGGCTTTTATCCTACGTTTCGATTTTCCATTTTGTCTCACTGTTGCATATCTTAAATTAATCTTCAAAGATTGGCGGAGTTTAAGATAAAAGAGGCTATTTTGTTTTCTTTTAAATTTAAGCAAATTATATACAAAACTGCCCCTTGTTTTGACGACTACCCTACAACAAATCAGAACTCACAAAAAGAAAAAAAAGATGCTTAGGATTAAAATATGATCAATTCCTTCAATGCTTTAATAGAGTACACTGGGTAACTTGAAATGGTCGTGAAAGTTGGTTCTAGTTGATGATGTTATATTAAGTTAATGTTTCGCTTGCTTTATGTTGAAAAGTGTCATCAGTTAGGTAGTATCAATAGAAATTTAAAAAAGTTTGTCGTCAATATCTTGGGAAAATAAAGTGCTTTTATTGACAAAAGAACTCATGAAATAATTGCTGGCGTAGTATCAGTTCATTTTCCAAACAATTGAGATCTTCATTTTCTAAAAGCGCTCGCTTGTTTCAGCTTGAAATATTCAACCACACACACCAAATATGGTACCATTAACACAATTACCCGCGGAAAGTAAACACATTTATTTATTGATCTTTCTTTCCTTTTATTTTGATGCGCTTCTGTGCTGTTTAAGCGATCTTTAATACAAACGTGGTGGCAGATGCATCACAGTGGTCTCACTTCCAGGCAGAAGTTTATAATCAATACCTTACAGCCCGTCTCCATGGCAGCGCACTTTTTGATATTGTGGCGAGGAGCGTATTCTCATTACAACATTTTACCTGCTACAGTGTCGGACCCTGGGAATGTAAATATAATAAAGGCAAAATTAAAATGGTCGTATTCACCCGTGGTGCTAACTAGTGCTTAATCCAACAATTGATCAGATCAGTTTGGGGATTAGCGGCATGAAATGTATACTAGTAGGCCTATGCTATGTTATGATTTATTTTGCATCACACGAAAGGGCATTACTTTGACATAAAACATTTATAATTACAAATAATATCATATTAAAATAAATAAATAAATAGATAAATAAATAAATAAATAAATATGAATAAATTAAATAAAAAAGAATTAGTCAACAGGTCTCTAGGGGCCTATAATCAGCACGCTTCCGCCGTAACCAGATTCACCTGCTGTGGAAAGGTTAATTTTTAGTATCCTCCAGAACTCAGAAAAAAATGCAAAATTTAAGGATAATATTCTTCTCTAAGCCTATGTCTTATATAGCTTATGCTGGTCAGACCTAAGCAAAATCCTGAATTTACATTTATTAGGTCATTTATTGATTACATTTTCATTTGGTGAATTTATCAGTAAGAATAAACAAAGTTCTAGGACGTTTTAATCACCCTATCTTCAGTGAAAAATAGGTGGTGAACTTGCTGCCTGTTCAAAGAGAGGTATTTGAGGAAGCGATTGTGCCTTTGATTGCGTTTGTTGAGACTAATTTCTTGACTAGGTTCCTAGGTCTCATGGAAGAATAAACAAGTTATATATTTTATTAATTTTCAAAATAAAATAAAATAAATGTAAATATTATTAATACACATTTGAGCATCCATTTATTTATGTCCCTATACATGAATGAACTTTACGGAATGTGCGTACCTACATAAAAGCTACCGCAAAATTATTTGGGGGACTAGTCAAGTTTTGTTTAAAATACACAGACTTGCGCAAAAGACCTTTGTTTGTGAGCAATGTAAAGTGTGAAACAACCAAAGTTGCCCTTACATAGAGAGAAGAAAAATGTAATTAAACTATTATTTGCCATTGAATATATTGCAATGATCACTGGTTTGAAAAACCAATGCATAATTTATTTTAAAGTGCGTTTCACCCGTCGCGAGACACGGCAAACGCCGATGCGCGGCAGCTCTGGCGACGACTTGATTTCCGTAGAGAGACTCCCGCCATGTTGGTTTGCACGCATTGAGCCACCGACTCGGATATATTTTCTTTGTAATCGTCACTCAGAGAGTTCAATGACCGACCTCATGACTGGGGATACTATGAGGTCAGACGTTTTAGATCAGGACCAGCTTAAAATCGAGGGAAGGCCTCCCATTTCAAAGAGAAAAATGCCGCGCAACACGTCGGTGTACGAAAATGGCGACTTCGATGCCGATTTAAATTTTGCAATCCAAGAAAGTTTAAAGTATGCGAAAAGGGAATCAAGCACCCCGCATACAAGCTCGGAAGAGATAAATCAAAATGACCAGAGACCAAGTCAAAGCTCAGAGGAGCCTATGCAGTTATACGAAGAACCGAGAGTATCGGAAGCCGATCCCGATGAAACGAGGCACCTAAAAGAACTTCTCTTGCTCCATCTTGATTTAATACAACAGCAGCAAGAACTCCTGCTGGCTAAGGACAAACAAATCACAACGTTACAGAAAGATAAAGAAGCAGTAAGTACACACAATAAATGACAGACATAGTTGAACGAAATTGATAAAAATACATATATTTTCATTGTTGAAGTATGACGCCTTTTATAAAACTAAAAATGCAAATGGTGGACATCGGTTTTTCCACGTTTTACACTTAAAGGCTGGTGTCAATACATTTTAACATTCAGCTGACATTCAAGCTTATTATTCAACTGAAATAAGCCACATTATCACAAATTTCCCAATGGTTATCATCTCCTTGATGCTAACTAGTATATGTTGATTTTGTTTACATTATCATATTGATGGCATTATTTGTAGACGTGCCACAGTTATGTTGGGCCACATAAAATAGGAGACAAGTTTTAACAGAGGGCTGTCGCTCCCTTTTTGTTGTTACAGAATTCAAATACTTCATGACCACTGTTTTGATATGGTTGCCTTTCTGTCTTGCCTTACTATCATTTATATTTTATTAGAAGTAGCATGACAAGTGTCTATCAGCAGACTCTCGGTGATACATTATTAATTAGCTTTTAGCTCTTCATTGCCAACTGTGGCTGCTATGAAAATGTGATTAACTAAATATTTCACATTTATTCACAGTATGTTAGTGTATTTAAAGTACCAGTATTAGTTATGATCACGATTAGTTTAATCAGCAAAAAAACACCTTGAAGTGCATGATATTGGATGCTTTGATATATATATAAAAAGTCAATTCTGGAAACAAAATCTGCCATACAATTTATTCAGTGTTTATAATATTGTTTCCTTGTTAATAACATGGAAATCTCCTTTCTGCACCAACTCAATGGGAACCAGGTCACATGATACGTCATAGGTCAGACAGTTATTATGGATAAGTGATTGTTTACACAGGAACTAGGTCAATCTCTGGCCAATTCACATATGTAACATAAGTATGGATTGGCTGAGAGCTTTGAAAGCTTGGGTTTGATTGGTTAAAATGACCAAGGTGCCATAATGCACAGGTAAGCAGGTGCCTTATATAGCTGAAGTAGGTCATAGGGGGTTTTAATGGACAAAGAATAAGCATGAGGCAGATTCGTAGGAAGCCTGTGTTACGGGTGGCCCAAAAGGGGGGATTTATCCAAAAACTGATCAACTCGTCGTGTTTAAGGATGGGAAGGATGGCAGAAGTTTTCCTGCCTTGTGTGCTCAGGCTAGCTAGTTTGAGGAAGAGCCCATGGTGGAGCGAGGTAGGCAGCTTTGTGTGTGTCACTGTGTGTGGATGAATGAATGAAAACAAGTCGCATTGTGATTAAGCTTGGACAGGTATGTCTTTGTGATCAGTATGCCAAATAAGGGCTTGGTTTCGATAGACTTGTGGGGTGAATCGTAAATGTACATTTCAGTATGGGTTACCAAAGTACCCAAATATAATATAGAATGAAATGCAGCATATTATGTAAATAATAGATAATGTGACTTAATATCAGTTGACAGAGTTGATAAGACCAAGCTACATTAACAGGGTCTCCAGACAGGTGCTCACCTTATACTTCTACTGCGTCTGGAGACACTGATAATATATTGGCGCAAACAAAGGCTTTGTGAGTTCTGCTGCAGAGTGCAAATGTTGGTTGTTACTGAAAGCTGCAGGTGTTTCTTTAATTATTCGCTCACTTATTATTTTTTCTCTTGGTTAGTTACAAGTCAGTTACTTGTGGTAAAACTGGCTGTACTTTTTATAACTGTCACTGCTGGTGGCTTTGAAACAAAAATACGGTGGTTGTGTATTCATTAGTGTGAAGAATTACTTCTTGTTACTTAGTTACTAGTAATCAGATGTTTTGAGTTATAAGTGTGATTATAATTTGGTTATTAATTTAGGTTTTTTTAAAGAAAGTATTATCTTAGAAAATGGTATTTCCTTTTAACAGGGATGAGATTTTTCTGGCTATGTGTAAATTTCTGACTTTTTGGAAGCAAAAAAAAAAAAAAAAAAACATTAGCCTAGGTGTTCCCCTGGACCCCGTGTCATATTTTCTGACTTTTTCACTAAATGGCAGTTACATCCCTGTTTTAATAACTAATTAAGCTACAAATATTCAAACCAGAAGAAAATCTTTCTTATCTGTCATGACCAATGGTTCTGAGTCAATTTATAATAAATTTAAAAATGAACAAAAGATCAAAACTGAATTTCAAAAGGAATTCTTGCTTATAGTATGTGAGGAAATTCAGTTGAGATTGAATATCAAAGTAGAAATTTATATTTACGATCCTTTTAAGGTTAGTGAGCTATTTAATATTCCAGATTGTATCTTTGGCCCAGGTGACATACTACTATATAGAGGATAGGTTATTGACCATTTAGTCATAATAGACTGTTAAATAACTACTACTCAGTAAGATCTGATTGCTCTGATCAGCCGTACAAAAAGGGAACAAATAAAACTTTGTGCACCTCTAAGGATATTGTGGCGCTATATCTTATGAAATAGTGTTATATTATATACAGGTAGCAAGGTGTTTATAATAAAGATAACGGTTGTTAATAATTGCTGCACTGTCATGTTGAATCTATCATATTATACACTGGAACACAAACCAGAAAGTGTTTATCTGCTAAGGTAAAAGATTGTGTCAGCTTTGAGCAATTAATGTTCAAAATTGTAGTTAAATTATATTGTATAAAAGTGGTCATTTTGTCTGCAGTCAACTGAGAACTGTATATCACTGCTAAACAGTGCATAGATGTTGCTACATTGTAAAGGGTTTACATTAATTACTGTATCAAACTGTATATTGCAGCTACAATGTCGTCTGGAGCGTATGGAGAGGCGTATGTCCATGCTCAGCAAGAGTCAAGAGGTTGTCCAGCAGCAGCTAGAGGCCACTTTACAGCTCAAACAGTCACCAAATGACCACAGACTGACCCAGGGCAGTGACCAGAGACTGACCACCCCTGAGAAGGCACAAACTGGGGGAAGAAGGTAGGTTTAAAAAAATATTAATTAGGAAATTTTTCGATCAACAGAATTTTTACCATATCTGCCCAAACAAAAGGCTTGATATAAAATTTGATATTAAATTGAATTAGTACTGTATTATGTGCTGTGAAATTGAGATTTGATAATATAATATAGCATCTCGCAGATATTTTTGTACCTTTAAATAGATAATGGCATGAATTACTAGTAAAGAAAGAAAAAAAAAATCTTATTTCAAGTAATCACTTGAATCCCCTATCTAAAAGATGGGTTGAGTGAAATGTTGGCATACAAAAACAAACTGGAGGGTTATGCAATACTCCTGTACACATTTGTTGGGTCAAAAGTTGAAGTCAACAAAAGAGGAGACTTCTTTTAATACCACAGAGCAATGTATTGCCATGTGTCCCGGTGACCTTCAACATGGGTCTCTTTAAACCTGTGCCCTTGTTTGTAAACATCAATCAGCTTGTTGCAGAGGTCTGGTCCCCCAGTCTGGTAACTTGGCATCAACACTTAAGTTTAGATCTAGAAATGAGTTACAGTACAAGTAAAAAAATGATAAAGTCTTTGAAAGTTTCATCATTATCATATTCAGTAGCCTGGTTGCGCTTTAAAACAGTGGGTTTTTTAAATTAAGTTTTGTTTAAACCCCTGTGCCATATTATACCTGGTTGGAGTGGGATGTTTACTGGTTTGCCACCAGGAGAGTGTATTATGTAATGGATGTGAAGCTGGGGAAGAGTTTGTGGGTTAAGTCAACAAGGTGTAGTGACTGGGATGTCTGGGTCAGAGCTAGCACAAGTCACAACTGATTCCACATTCATGTATTGTATCTTGTGGTCTAGACTTAGCTGGGAACGTCTGTTGGGGTAAAATTGTGAGAGGGATGATATTTGGAGTCACACTATATCATATTCCATTCCATGCGTCTGTCATCGCTGGTACTTTTTTTTGTATTTTACTTTTTTTTAAACCGATATTTAATTCAGATCAGTCGACAACAGTACTGAATAAAGTTTTATTAATTTCTTTATTCAGTACTGTTAATGTTGATGACTTGTAAAAAAAAAAAAGTTGCATAATTATTTAAGTTTGCAGTACATTTCATCTCATTTACCCCTTTTTGATGGTTTTATCAGCATTTACATTTATCTCCAACATTTGTGGTAAGGGGAGTCATACTAGTATGTCAAGCAATGTTGTGTTTAAAGACAACACTTTTGCTATGCTGTTATTTTAAAGAGAGAAAATTGGCACAATTTCCTGAAATGTTGAGCAACTCAACATTCTGGCATTCTGGACCTCTTGTCCTCCTTATGAGTCTTGAATAACAGGCCTGGTTTTATTATGATATGAGAAAGAGACAGCAAAGGTTGAAAAGAGCAGTCATAAGTAAGATCAGACTGAAATAAACTTTACTCAGACTGATAAATTTTTTGAAAAGATGTCCTTATTTTGAAATGATCTTTTTAAATTTTCTATTTTGCAGAAGAAGATCCTTGGAACCGGAGGTGTTCAACTCCTTTGTCTCTTCCAAAGCAAATCAGGACGATTCCAGATTAAGAGAAGATCAACAACAACAAAATAACAATAACAACAACAAAAATGTATTCAGTAAACCCAGGAAATTTGCATACAGGAGAAGACGGCGAGAAATCCAGACTAGAACAGAAAGTGAAACTGATGAGATCCGGGGGAATGATAGTGAAAGTGAAAATACAGGCATCAAGTTTGATTTACGCCAAAGGATAGAAAGCAGAAAACGTGCCAAGTTAGAGGCAAGTAAAAACCGTGCAGGGACAAAGATTGTTGGTGTGACTTCAGAAACGCAGGAAAATAAGACGGAGGACGTTTTGAGAACAGACTGTTTGTATGTTACGACAGTGTGCGAGTTCCCCCTGCCTCCGGAGCCAGATATAAAGTTATCAAAACAAGCTCAAGTGGAAGTGCCGACGTGGAGGGTGAACCCTGTGACGAATTGTTACCAGCTGGAAGGAACAGAGGTAGGCAGTCCAAGATGCATGATGCGATCATCTAGAAATGATAATTAAAATTTAAACTGAAACCTTCTTGACATGAGAAAAAAATAGTAACGTTGTTTTTTCAATTTTTAATTGTAGAATTTAACAGATGAATCATACAGCAAGAAGCACCTAAAACCTGAAATGGAAGAAAGGAGGAGGAAAAGGTAGGTTCGAAGACCTTCTTGATATGGATTATGTTACTTATATATATTTATTTTATTTATGTTAAAAGAAATGTAAATTAATGCCAATGTTTTTTTCACTCTGGAAAGATACTTTACCTTTTTAAGTATGAGTAACAACTCAAAAGATATCACAGACCTAGACATTAGATAACAGGAAAGATGTGTATGTTTGTTTTACAGGTGGGATCTTCAGAGGTTACGAGAACAGAAAATGTTGGAGAAGTTAGAGAAAGGACGCTACAAGTGCCATTTTGCAGACAAGAGCAAAGGTGGCACTGAGAACCACAGTCAGGAATCCACCTCTTCTCTGCTACCCTCATTAGATGACAGTAAGGACCAGACACAACAAAATTTATGCAGTTATTGACTTTGGATAAGGTTTATGTGTTGTTTTACAGACCTCAGAAAAGTGACTTTGGCTGAGATCTGAAAACATATTGATAGAAAGCAAAAGTCAATAATTGTTTTATTATATTATATCAGTATCTTAGAAAATAATGCAAAAGCTGTTATGTTTTACTATATATATATATATATATATATATATATATAACATAAATAATTGCCCTCTGGTTACAAGAAATTTAGTCTGGAAACAATTTTTATATTGAAGATCTGCAATATTCTTTTGTTTCATACCAGTAACTCTGCCTGTCACTACTGACATGTTTTCTTTTGCAGCTTTCAAAGTGGTATTTCTAAATGACCTTTTGTCAACCATTGTTTGATTTCATTCAACCTTTTTTCAGCAAAGGTGACCCAGTTCATATTAAGTTGACTATCGCTTTTTTTTTTTCAGTTCAGTACATAGAGGTGTGTGACAAAATAGCAGTGTCAGCATTTGGATACGCCATTCCTCATTTAGAACCGAGGTAAGTGCCCATCACAGTAACACAGAATCTGATAATACAGTTTTGTTGAATGGCAATCTTATTTTTCAGACTTTGCTGCTTAGTTATATTTAAGTAATGAGTTTTCTTTTTTTGACTGATTTTGTATTATTGCTATCTTTACATATCATTACAGTTAATTTAAATGGTGCAGATTTGTGCAGAAATTAATCAGAAACATTTTTGCCAGTTCAGATTACACAGGCCCTTAGCAGGGGGTGAGGGTTTTGAAAGAACAGCCTTTTTGGTAGGAAAAGGTACACTCTAAATCAAAATTTGAACTAAATTTTGTGCCATGTCTAAAGTTGGGTCATCTAATGGTCCACTTTTTAATTTCAGAAATAATACCCCCTCTTTTCAAATTGCCCACTGGAAATCTGTTCAGTTCCAGATATTTTGCTGACAGTGAGTCAGCAATCTTGTGCCTAACCTGTGTTGAAATGACCGTAATATTTTCCCCCTCTCTTTTAAGCGAGTTTGCACTGCCATGGGGTGAAGCCAGTCACCGGGAGACAACCAGGATGAGAACACCACAGAAGAGAAGATGATCCCGCCCTGAAACAAAAATTGGTGAAAATAAATAAGGAATAAGGAAAAAAATTATGATAAAAAGAAACAACATCCATCTCAGTGAACTTTGGTCTTCAGTTGGCAGGACACCGATCCACCAAGATACCACGTGTCAAGTGATGAGCGAATTAAAAGTCGCCTGTATTTGAAGTACTTTCGAATGCGGCATTCATTGCAACAGTTGACAGCAGCAAACTTCCGAAGTTTTGTAGCTGATCTGAAATTTGACTGTTGCAAAATGGGTTACAGGAAATGTTATAGTTTTAAAAAAAGTTAGCCTTTTTTGGATAATTTTCAGTTGTACACATGCCATAGGAGAAAATCCAAAGGACGAGGGTTCATTCCCCTTGGGTCTGTCTTAGTTACATCCTCATCAGTAAGGTAATGAAAAGAAGACAGAAAGGCTCTGGATTATCTCATGTTAGCTTCTATATGTATTGACTGCACTAATTCTCCATGTCAGAGATAGAGGGAAGCATGGGTGGTCCCAGCCAAGATGGCCCAGTTTCCATCCTTTTTTTTTTATATTAATGATTATTGCTATAATAGTAAATTCACAATAGTAAATTCACTTTTGAAAGGTCAGTATTGTTTAAATCTTATAGGATCTACATGGTAATTTAAGTTTTGCAGGAAGTTTGGGAGATGTATAGACCAGGGTCAGTGTATGGTTATAAATTCAGGGAATAGTTTTTCTTTGTGTTCTTCATATATTTTACTAGATGCTTGATTATGGCAAGTATTCAGGCAGTTTACTTACTTATAATACTTGAAGTTTTTTTTTTTCTAAAAAAATGTGAAAGTTTCAGTTCAGTTGCTGAGGAAGTGCAACAACACTGAAAATATAATGTGTTGGTTTAAAAAAATTGATTTCAGTATTGTTCTGCATGATTTAAGTACACTGCTTTGACATTTTTGTCTGTGATTTTAAGTTTTTGGTATTTGCAGTGATGTCTGCAAACTTAATGCTCCACAATTAACACTGAAACTACAAGTCACTTTGAGCTTGTTGGGTTTGTACGAGAAATAATGTGAACAGTAACTAGAATTCTTCTTGACTAAACATCAGCTCAGACAGTTTCACCTGTGAGAAACCTATGACAAAACGTTAGTGACACCTTGAACCTTGAAGAAGAAAGTGGAGTTTTGTGACAGAAATGTTGGGGATATTTGCTTGTGTTCTGGTTTTCTTTGCATTAGAATGCAAGTAGGCTTGGTTTCTGCAGATGATCCACTAGTTGATGTAACATCTAATGGCTTCAGATTTTTTTGTTGGGTTGCCAATTGTATGACTGCGAAAGAGCTTTAAAAATTTTTAATGTAATTCTTAGCTCAAATTACACGAGGGGAGATTCCGCCCCTAGAGACTTTTTTCCTGGGTAAATAAGTAATGTAATAAGTAAATGTTTTTTTGTTCGAATGGGCAAATGCACTAGTATATATGACTTTGTAAGTTAATACTGAAAAAAAGTTTGCAGGCCAGAGATGCCAGTAAGGGATGTTAAGGTCCAGCTACATGCCAAACATTACATTTAAGCATATCTTGGTTAGTGCTGCCTCATTCTGCCCTGGCGATCAGTTTTGAAACAATATGACAGAGGCTTGTTTTTTTTTTTTTTCTTCATTGTAAATTTACTTGTTCATTCTCCAGATGAGATTTACTTCAGAAAAATTGTTTCTAAATTGTCAAGTTAGGTTCTGGGGATGAAGAGTTCATATCAAGATAGTGTTTATCTATTAATGCTTATGGTAGTTATGTGGTAATTGACAAAGAAAATGACAAACATTACATTAGTACTAGTAGTTTAAAAAACAAATTTTTGTCACAAACGTTTTGAATGTAGCCTAGTAATTTATCTCAAATTTGTACACCTTGTGTAAAATTGTAAACATTATTTTGTGTAATAAACTATTTTATTATCAAGAGGGATATTTCTAATTATAGTAATTTATCTTTCTTATCTCTTTAAGTGGGCATTAAAAAAATATACAGTACCCAGTGCAAAAATTTGAACAAAATTGACTAATCATATTTCTCAAAACAAAAGTATTTTTTGTACCATCTGATATGTGAATCTAAATTTAAGAGTGGTTTTTCCAAGGAAGATGGTTCAGATGTAATAAAAAGTAATAATTATTGGACTTCATCCTCATGTCAAATGCCCTTCATTAGTTACTGATGCCCACTGAAATCCTGTGTGTTTCTCTCCCCACATGCACAAAGTAAATACCATGAAGGACTAGGCCTAGTGTCATTTCAAAGAATGGGAGGGGGATCTATAAATGTGATAAAAACAAACTAGAATAATATTTTGATTGTTATTTTGATGATTATTATATATTTTCTATTCTTACTCTGAGAAATTCCAAGATGTAGCTGTGCTACTGTACATGTTCATGCACATGAAAAAATATGGAGTGAAGGGATGTTTTTGTCATCTCATATGCAATTTGTGCTACTGGCTGATGGTGAGATTTTAATGCACTCCCTCTTTTTGATTTATTTCAGGTTTACCCAGGCACTAAAATTTCCACCACCTGAGTTAATCTGTAAATGCCACTTTCCCAGCAGCTTAAAAAAAAAAATAAATAAATGAACAGGTCTGAAACCCGTCAAAATGTTTGCTGCTCAAGAATACAAACATTGTAGTAATTTTCTTTAGTGACATGACACAAAAGTTAGTTATTTCATCCTTCTATTAATATCATGAGTCAGCTTTTGTGTGTCGAAATACTTTGAGATGGTTGTCTGCACCGCCACTCAGCAGGTAGTCTGGAACTGTCCAATCAACAGAGAGGACTTTGTCTTCATGGCCACTCATGTCAAACAGCGGGGCTTTCGGACTGAAAAAATGAAGTGTGGTCAGTTTATCTTCGTTCACCACTACATAATTTTATGAATATGCTGAAATTTGTATAACTGCAATGATCAATGATGTGATTAACAATCCATACTATGCAGTTTGACATTTTGATAGGTGCAATTGTTGTAAAAAAGATACAATAAAATAAGTATAAAGGTTTAATGCTTCAGGGTTTGTAGAACGCTTGAACATCAACAATAACCTTTCTTTCCACACTGCTCAATCATTATATTAGTTTATATTTATTAGGTTAAAAATGAACGTCTTTTTCTCCTTGTTACCATTTTGTATCCCATAATTTCAACAAAAAACTCTCCTCTACAACTGAAAACTTTATCACTGCTAGACTATAATATTAATTTTTTCTAAAAATGAACATTTTTTTTCTTCTTGTTACCTTCTAGTATCCCATAATTTCACCAGGTGGTCATATGACCCCGATAAAAACTGATGCTGATTGGTTGTTGACCAGCAGACAGATGGCACCCAACCATTATGGGATGTAAACGTGCTCTTCACAACAGTACCCTCTAAAAAAAAAAAAAAAAAAAAAAAAAAAAGAAAAAAATAATAATATAAGCGAGACCATCATGTGAGAAGCATATAATATCAAAGGGGATATCAGCTTGTCCCTCATGAAATTTGAATCTCTCACTAAAAAATTTTTACTCATGCCTGCTTCTTGAAAAAAAAAAAAAGTAAAAAGCTAAAAAAAATTTAAGATAATTTAAAGGGATAATAATTCTTTGTTTCGGCCAAAAAAAGAATTTTCCTGGAGTAAACAACAATTTTCCCATACTAACCAATGGTTAATGAATCCATTTTTACATTCAAAGTTAGTCCCTGGTTTTTTCCTAAAAAGATTTTTTTGTTGAAATCTCTTAAGAGATTTTAACAGAGTATAGCCATCAATGGAGGTCACATGGTCTAAAGACAAGCTCAGATGTCAGAATAATAGCTATAACTGCCGTTTTTGTGGTAAAGCAGAATATATTATATTTCTACGAGTAATTCACAATGTTTTCATTGTGAGATATAGATCTCTTACGAAGAGTTATTATCCCATTAAAATTCCTAGACTCCATTTCTTATCTATAGCAGTCATTATGTTTTTTTTAAAGATAATGTCATTTAGCTTGTATAAACAAACAACAAGAATGCTGAGGGCCTAAAATTGCATTTTATAAAATCCCAGGATAAAGATTCTCGTCTCTTGGCAACATTGTACAGGCAATGTAGGGACTAAGTTGGCAAGGAAATACAGTAGTGAGAACCCTACCTGTGCTACGAGGGTCATAAAGTCGTATGTGTCTGTCTGAAGATCCTGCTATAAGGAGGCCATTGACTGAGGAATAGGAAATATCTAGAAATACCTTGGTCCCTGTCTGAAATAGTAAATCTCAGTTGTCAATGAATTATATTCAAAATATAAATCCGTCTTCTTCTTGTCAATTACAGTTAATAACTGTGAAAAGGGAACATTTATAAATCAACATTATGTCTTTCTGGCATGAAAGCTGTAATTAAATCTTTTTCATGAAATGTTAATTATACTGTGATAATTAAACCAAAGCCAAAGTTAAATTTACATGTATCTACAATTAATAGTTATCTATATGGGAAACCTCTACAATCAATTTTGCCCAAAACTTATCGAAACAAAATATTTCATACTATTGAGGATTTTTGAGCAGCTTGTTCAAGATCCCAAAACTTTATTGTGTGGTCCCATGATGCCGTGCAAATCTCACTGTCACCTGACCATGTTACCGCGGAAACACCCTCATTGTGACCTGAAAAGGTCATTAGAGGAGTCTGAAATAATGACAATCAAACTTGGATAATCTATTTATACATAAGAGACAATAAATATTCAAAAGAGTTTAAGACCTATAAAGAAGAGCAAGAAAAATGTCTAAATTGTAATAGTATTTTGAAAAAAAAAAACAAACTTATCTCATCAATTTAACCACAAAATATCATTAAATGTTTTATGTATATTTAGTAATTAAATAAAAGGTATTGCTTGCTAAATAAATGTAAATATTCACGTGGATAAACAACCACTGAGCTCATTATTGCTAAATTCAAAATTCAAAAATATTTTATTGTTGAGCAGCTAGTCAACCCACCCTATTAGGAATTTTTGAATCTGTTTTCTTCTTTTTTGGCAATCTCTCTCCGTCACTTTGTGATGTACTTTCATCCTCTGAACTAGGAATTGCTGACCAAATTTTCAACATTTTGTCCCATGAACCACTGCAAAACTGAAAGGAGGAATTTTCCCACATTTTGTCCTATAAACCATTGCAAAACTTTTTTTCTTAATTTGTAACATATCTTCTTTTTTACATCTAAAAATTCTTAAACTGAAAAAAAAACAAACAAACAAACAAAAAAAAATAAAGTGAATAAATAAAAACAGAATCAGGAAACACGTTGTTTGTCTGGAAGGTACTGCCTTTAAATATCTCTGGCATGGATTTTGCACAATATGTCTGAAGAATATCTCTCTCTACATCTAAATATTAATATTATGGCACAATTTAACAACAATCTAGGATTTAATTTAAATCTGGCATTCTACATTTTCTCACAATTAATGTCAACTGAACAAGTGTGTCTATTTTAATTAGTAAGAACAGCCAAAATGAATACAGAGCCTTATGCTAAATTTGCCATGCACTGGAGATTGAGGTGAAATAAGCTGTAACCTGCCAATGACATACAGACTGAACAGGGAGTTGGTAATTTACCTTGGTTTTACTACTGTCCACAGCTAGGCAATCCACACTTTCAGTGTGCCCCCTACACATCTGGACACAGTCCACAGAATTCTTGTTTTTGTTCCATTCCCATATAAGGACTGTCTGGTCATGTGATGCACTCAAAAAGAGGCTGACTGGATCATCATCTGAGAAAACATTTAAGAACATTATGTCTAATTATGTCTGAAAAAGTTTTCATAATAACTGGGAGTACCATCAAATGGTGAGGTTTGTAAAATTTATTGATTATCATTTAATTCACAAGCAAGCCTTATTCTAAAACAAGAACCCCTTATAAATTTTGGATCAGTAAATCAAATCATTTTTTCCTTTTAGTCATTTCATATAATAATATTCATTTAAAATTATTTTTTGTGAATGCATTTGTTTGTGTGAGCACATGTTTTGAATAGATCTCCCCATCTTGCCTTATTAAAAGAATGGAGGTTGTGATCTTCATACAGAAAATAGTCACAACACATCCAGTATGTATGTATGTATGTATGTATGTATGCATGTATGTATGTATGCATGTATGTGTCTGTATTGTAACTTACCCTGTTTGACCCAAGCTACCGCCTTGACCGGTCCAGAGTGACCAGGGATTGTGATGAGACTTTCTCCTTTAAAATTCCACATCCTCAATGTGTTGTCATAGCTTCCACTTAGAATACTGAATATGTAAACACAGTGCCTATTGTGGAATATTGAATTTCATATGAAAACTTTTTGTTAATTTAATAATGGCAACTAACTAGAATGAATATAAATATCCCCAATTGATATGCTTACTAGTAAAAGTGCCTGCAAACTGTTGATTTCCTTAAGATTTTGACAACCGATTCAAAAAGGTACTTTCAAATTCAAAAATGACAACAGAATTCATGGTTAAACAACATGTTTTACTAGCTAGAAACAAGCATGGGTGTGTGCACATACAATTATACATGAGAATGTAAAAATGTAACTGTATGTGGAACTTTCAGAGAGAGCATGTGTTCTGTTCCTACTCACTAATTTCCAGAGCCTCTCACACAGCTGACCCAGTCGTCATGTAGAAGAGAGTCCTGTGGTTCTGGTGCTGGGTGTCGTTCCAAGTATTCTATCTCCACAACAGTTTCCTGAAATTTGTTTACAATTCTAAAGATGCAACTACGAGCATGTAATTGTTTCAATAAATAAAAGCTACAAAAGTGTCAGCAGTAAAAAACAAAAACAAAAAATTTAAATAAAATAAAAAATACACTTATAAGCAATTTTGATAGCCATCAAAGCAAAACCGTTTCCAATGTATTGCTGGCATGAATCCCAGCATTTGTGAAAGTATTTTTAAAAATTATGATAATTTTGTTTAATAATCAATATCATCTCAATCAAATGAATAAAATGTCACATTAATGATTATAAAGAATGATTTAGATGATAAAATTATCAAATTTTCAGCAAATTTAAACTTACTGTAGAGATCTCTTTTTGTTCCATGTGTTTATCCAGTGGAACACGCAGATATTCACCATTGATGAGAAAATCAAACTGGGTGCTACTGACATCTTGGCTTTCTAGACAAATATATAATTTACTGTATGTACATGGGAATATTTCCTGCATGATAACAGGTAAGTCAACACAGATCAAAAGCAGACTGGAAGATATTTCTATTGGCAAAAAATTAAAAGATACACATACAAGTGTTGTTAAAAAAACAGGTAATATAAATATTAAATACAATGCAAATTTAAAGTGTTAATAAAAAACTGGAGGTGCAGGTGAGTTAGTTTAATCTTTGTTGATCTGTCAGTATTAATTCTTGCTCATGGGCATCTATGTTCACAGTAATCTAGAGCTCAATGTCAGCCTCTCTGTGTGTGTGTGTGTGTGTGTGTGTGTGTGTTACAATATACCTGTACCTGTTTGAAGAATTCCATTTATGAGATCCGTCAGTTCATCTTGACCTACTGAAGCCGGGATGGAAAATGGGGTGTCTGGTACTGCAAATCTGGAAAATAAAATTATAGTACAAATTATGTTAATGAAAAGCGTGAGAACTACCTGTAGCATGACTGTCAAAATGACAACATTAACTTTTTTCACATGTGACTGTTTAACGTTGGAAAATCTGAAAAAAAAGGAAGACAAATAATACTTACTGGAGCAAGCCTTAATATATAAATAGTGCATAAATTTAATTAATTTAATCAATTAACAATAAAATTGTCAAAAATGATCGATGCATCATGTGCATTAACTTTAAACAAAATGAACACGATTTATACTAAAACACTTAAAAAGTTTAATGGCACACCAACTGACAAAAAGTCTTAGAATCGTGAAGCTTTTACGAACTTTTACACCTACAAGTGTCACCGTTATTTACAACAGTTGATCATGACGGCAGTGTTATTTTGGGAAGGAAATGATGAAATTCTTCAAGTATATCTTAATAAGTGCTAATACTATACCCTGACAATATCTAAAAAACAATAAAGAAACAACTAATTGAACAGAGTTATTACTTACTGTGGCTGTTTTGTGAAGAACTTCGCCTGCACATGCGGCACGTTGTTGCTGCTGGGAGCCGCCATCTTTGCTGGCCTATTTCTGTACATTGCGGTAGGTGAGAAATGATGGTGGTATAAAACACAATCTCAAGCTGTGCCGTGTACAGGTCTGTACTCGGCTCAATTATAATTCTTTATTCTTACCTTAAAATGTCCCTACATCAAAATTTCAAAATCAAGAAAAAAAAATAAATAAAAAATAAATAAAAATAAATAAAAGACATTTAAGCCGGGTAAGTTGATAGCAATTAAATCAGACTCCCCGTGTAGATATATCGATCCAAATATCTGTGGGAATGGTCCCTTTCTCTGGGACCATTCCCAGAAATATCGTACTAACTTTAGATCGATCTATCTCCAAGGGGATTCTCACTAAATTGCTATCAACTTAAATGCGACTTAAATTAAGCCGCTTAAATGTCGGTCACGCCCACTAAAGCTGTCTGGGGATAATTAACTATCGGAGGTCGAGAGTGCACGAAACTTAATTCCCCCTTAACTGATTCGATAGGCGTGACAGGCATTAAAGCCGCGTAAGTTAACTGATAGCAACGTAGCGTAATTCCCTGTAGAGTTAGATCCTGTTGGATCGATCTAGCCATGAAAACCCAGTCTCACCCCCCTCTTTTTATGCTTTCGCTAATTATTTTCGTCTTATTTAATGTTAGTTAATGGCTTCCCGTATCTATGGCTTCTTCCAACACAATATTTAATGTAAAGAATTATAAACGTCACTGCCGTCAATTCTTGTTCCAAACAGCTAGAGTGCTGAACACTTGACACCAGGAAACCTGTCATTTTACATCCAAACTGCTCCTTCAGAAGATATTTATTTACAGGTAACCTTTGCCGATTCTTTTAACATTAAAATCTGTGTCTTAATATTTAAAAAAAATGATAAAAATCTTTCTCAAATTAATGTTTATTCAACAATAACCCTTTTCATTTCAGAATAAAACGACCAATATGATCTGCGGTGCGGTGGTAATAGTATTGTTGGTACAGGCAACACTATTTATGAGCGGCCAGACAACACCACCAGCAAGAAAGGACGAAGCATGCTCATATTATGCGAATGGCTTCACTCCTTCTGCACGCTGGTATAATATGATTGTGCATTGGTTCATGAAAATGGACGAAAACGGGAATTTGCTCATAGATGAGGTGGTCAATGTAACGCTTAGGTCAAGTAGATGGTATCTTTTACGAGATCACTCCGACTTACTGGATAATTTTATGAGGGAAACATGGAAAGAATTGGGGTTTGACGACGATGCGATAAATTTTGAAAAAATTAGTTCAATATTTAAAATGTACGTTAGCTCCCCTTTACCTAAGCAACCTCCGACTGGAATGGTGCTCTTTCATACCAGAGATTTTGTTTGAACCCTTCAGCACTTTAGATAACATTCAATATGCCGAGTTCTTAACCGCATTCAGTTTCTATGATCGTAATATACGGTTAAATATTAGTAAAATTGATGCCAGTGGTGACTTGTACATCCAAAGGAAAGAGGTAATTCATTCATGCAGCGATATTCTACTCGACCTCGAATGGGAGTATTTCTATGAGGTTGATCAGACACGTACTGGACACATAGCCAAGTGACAGGGTGCACATTATTTGATATACCAACCGTAAGAGATGACGAAGCAGCTAATGCCATATAAATATTCAGTAAAGATGAAAGGGACGTGCACACCCAGACTCTGACACGTATTTAAATGCACTGCGATGCTTTTCTATTTCAATGGTGATCTTTTCTACAGTATTTCAACGGGGAACAGGACAATAATAATCACCCAATATTCAGGTAAGGGTATGGTTTTTTAATGCTGATGCCTAGACAGCTTACCTTATTTTGTTCTACTGGGTTATTTGTGTTGATTGTGGTTAAAATAAAATGATAATGCAAGTCTCATGACGCTGGTTGTCATATGTTATAATATTGCAGGTCGTTCATTTACAAAATCAACGTGTTAATAGTCTCATCAACCCCTATACCAGATACAAAAAAGTATTGGCACTTCCAATATATTAATGGAACGAATAAATTAATTAATACAGCAATTTCAGTATAAAACCAAAGTAAAATTTAGAGCTTTAGACATCGGAGAAAAGGCTATAAAACTACATCACGGGTCCGACAGGTCAATCGGTAATTAAGATATATCAAACACTCTAGATATGCCACCTTGCCTGTCAATTTGACTGATGTACCATGGCAAAGGTTATGCTTTTTCATGAAGTCCCCCGTTTATTCTGCAACTCGAAATCTTGCTCAACACCATTAACTGCTACCTGCATCAGATTCTCTCTCCTCTCCATCGAATCCAGCACTGACTTTCGGCTTGCGCGAACTTCGATTAACTTTTGTCAAGAATGGTGATCTGGTTTGTCAGGAGTGGAATTTATATATGAGATAACTTTCTGTGGAATTAAATTATGAATTTTCTACTGTATGTTGAATGATAAAAAAGGTGTTTCTTCTCCATAGCTACCTGAACGTTTAATAAGAAGTGGTTTATGAGTTTTCAATTAAATTAAACATCTCACGTTTGGTCACTGTTTATGATATTTTTTAGGATTATAGTTTCTAACTCGTCATTTCTTTCTGCTTATATAAGAAAGGTTTTAGCAATCTTTTCTGGCAATTAGAAGTGCAACAACGGAAATCTTAGTCCCAGTCTTCTTTATTAGGATTCCCCATAGGGGAATACTATTGTTTTTGGTATTATTATTATTATTATTCTTTCGACGCGTTTTTTTTCGCAAAAAATCTGAAATAATTATCATACGTAGCCCATGGCGAGAATATGCCACAGACCCAGTTTCAGTGACCTTGACCTACTTTTAAAGGTCACAGGGGCTTTTAAAGGCAAAATTTGTAAAATTTGAAATTGCCATTAGGCCTAAAGTATAAGCCTATGGCTAAGGGCCTTATGGCATATGATACTGAGCCAAATCCACAGATAATGACATACTTTTATACAAGTAGGTCAAGGTCAGGGTCGCTCTTGGCCAAACATGCTCAAAAAAGGTTGGTTTCCGAGATCTCCAAAACCGGAAGGCCCAGAGCCCAAATCTTAGTGGCAAATGATGCCCTATATATTTATCTAAGGTTAGCCGTACTTTGGTAGCGACTGCCTAATTATTTTTTTTAATATAAATTTTAAAATATTTATGACATTGCAGAAATCTTAAGTTTGGCAATTTCTCCATGAAACACTGTTTTTTGGTCATAGCATGCTATAGTAAACTACCCCAAACATATACCCAAAGCCCCCAAATCAAATGTAAAATTTGACCTTGACCCTCATTTTCAAGGTCATTCGGCTATTTCATGGAGAAATATTGAAGTGGGCTAAAAGTGATGTTTTGTTGAACCCCCCCCCCCCCCAATTCGCACATGCTCTTTCTGAATGTGGGGTCAAATTTAACCCATGACCTTCACATGACCTTGTAAGAGCCTTTCCACACCTATTTTGCAGGGGAATCCTCCGCCACTGGCTTAAGCCAGTTGCAGTCTAGTTATTATTATTATTATTATTATTATTATTATCATTATTATTATTATTATTATAAAGCTAATTTTTCATTTATTAATTTTAATTAAATTACTCAACAACTTGGATTTTTTTATGGAACACAAAGGAAAAGAAAACCAATAAAATTTAGTTGCTATTGACTTTATGTGTATGCTCCCTGTAAGTATTACAAAATGACAGTGATAATGCCAACGAGAGACTTCCTGGAACTCCTTCAACAGCTAGCTCTGGCACATTTCATGTTTTGAAGCTCGCATATGGGACTGCACGAGCAGTCAAGTCTGAAAAAAAAAACTTTTCAATAGAAATTCGCACACGAGAGAGTGGGAGTAGGCCTACATAATACAATTCAAAATATGGCAGTAAGAATTGCTTGACTTCATATTCCAAAATAAATGATATTCAGAAAGGTAATGTTCAATTCTGGCAGGATTCCAGTGATTTCTATCCAGTCATCTCTTGCTATAAGGCAACTACTTCTGCTAAGGCGACTTCGGCAATATCTTTCACTTTGTCTTGAAATGTGCGTTACATTCGTCAGTAAATCTCCGAATCGTTGTCCATCGGACAGGACTTTATTCTATTTATTTATTTTATCATATTATTATTTTAAGTGGGGTCTAAAGATTATATTGGGGCCCCATTCACAAGAAATGCATCTTACACGCAGGAGCCAGCTCCACATTTGCAGGTGTCACATAGCCCCTTGGTTGATCTTGCGCACATTGGTATAGGATTGCAGGCTGAAATAAGTACACCAAATCGGTAATTCATCGCTTTCATCAGGTGGTGGTTATTGTCAGAGTTTCAGATGTCATTAGACTGCTCTGTTGTTAAGCATACGAAAACCACCCCCAATTGACACTAATTGCTTATGCTTATCGCGCTCAGGATAACCAGTCACGAATTTACCCACATTACAAATATGCAATTTTATTATTATGATTATTATCATTATTATTATTATAATTAATGACATTTCCAACGACACCTGAGAAAATCGAAGGCTTAGGGCCTATAACAGAAGGATATCTGACAAAATGACACTGTGTGCGACATCTGACACTGGTCTGACTCCTGTGGCCATTAAAATTTCGTGCGACCGGAAGATCTTTCAAAATGTGTAAATGTAGTGGTCCGACACGCCCAGTTGATTTTTTTTGTGCTTAAAAACAAACTTTTTTCAACAATTTTCCATAAACATTTTTGAATGCGTCTACATGGGTGAAAGTGTTCCAGAAAGATTCGATAAAATCGACGTTTAATGATTACAAGTATTAATTTGAAATGGGTGTACAATGTCCTGCAAATGTCCTGCTTGGTCGCAATTTTAAATTTGATTTGTACCAGCGATTTTTAAATCGTATCAGGCGACTTTTAGGAAACTGGAAGTCAGAATGGCCAGTAAGCTGAAAGTTTATGGTACAGGCCGACGTGATGTATATTTCCGCCTTAAACAGTGTGTTAAAACTGCTACAACTGCAACTGCTTCAGTAGGAGACTTAAAAGCGCACAATCACCATATATAGGTGTTGTTTAAGTATTGTAAAAGTTTTATTCTGGTATATTTAACATACCTTTCAAGACTCCGTTCCTGCAGCCATAACTGGCATCTGTCACTTTGCCCACTGCTGCGCTGAAGCAAGCAAGAACCAATGCGGTTATCAGCAAACGCTGCATGTCAGGAATATCGTCTTCCAACCAAAAATACTCGAGCGTTGTCTATACTCAGTATGGTTGCACATTGAAGCGAAGCATTATTTAAAGGTGTCAGTCGGCGTGCTCAATTATTTGACAATTGCTGTGCCTTATTAAGACCATTATTGCAATTCCGGCTTGAAATAAAATACTTAATGGAAAATATACATTCATCATTACTTTCATTTCGTGTGCTGATTAGGAACTTGAAAACAAGCTTTTTTGTATTTGGATTGTTCAATAAGGCGCTTGGCGTGAAATTAGAAATAATTTCGACGTTATTGAAGTAAATTTATACTGATAATTCTTCCCACAAGTTGAAGTTATTTTCTGACAATGACTTTTCCAACATGATGCAAATTTGGCATTTATACTTTATTCCGATAGTCTTTCTGAATGTATGCTTTTTTGTGATATGTAAAATAATCAATGGTTTAAAATCAACATAGAAACTGCATATTATCACAGGAGTAAGGACACAGCATGAAGAACACATCCAGTGGCCTGCTGTTGTACTTAAAAAAATTACAGGTTAGTAAATATGTCCATCTTTTTGTCCCTGTCAATGCCAGCGACTACTGGACTATCATATACAACAAAGATGATGCGTTTGGAAACTGAATAATTGACATTTCAATTTTGAGAATTTGTGGGCTGTCCTGGAAATGGATCATTAAGGGATAACCCTGGAATCGAAAATATGCTATCTTTGCACCGTATGGGGATTGCCATCACCTTGTAAATGTTCCAGAAATTTTTACTCTGCGCACAGACGCGTCAGGTGTGTTTTCCAATCCAGAGGACACTGAATAAAAGACCAAAATGTGGCTCTGATTTTTAATACTATAATTACCTTATTCATTAGGTGTACAATCAGAGAAAACAATTGTGAAAAAATCATTCTACAACTTGAACCATAAAACCGGCAATTTGAGTTTTCGGCATGGTCCATAATAGGGCTAATCTGCCCGTGTCACTAATAAAAACCCTGCGAAATATTTTCATGAGGCATGATATTGACAAGAACGGCTTCTGTTCTACATATTCTTTGGCATTATGGCGAGAAATCATTGATTTTCAAATAATAATAATAGTAATAAATAAAATAAAATAAATATAAAAATTACAAAAGATTAATAAATGGTGTATCACGGAAAATCAATCTATACTTTTAATTATTCATTCTATATAATCCGTTTATCACTAGAATTCAAAACTGACTTATTGTGTCTTTAGAGCATGTTCATTTTTTTTTTGACAAAATGCTTATGATCAAAAACTGTTTGGTACAGTATATACATAATTATTTGAATATTTTAAGTATTAGCCCAACAGACGTGAAACATCAGCGATGAAATGTGCCCAGTAGCAAAGTGAAGCTCTTTGTCACTTGACAACCAGTATGAAAATGGAGCTCGGTGTTTACATTGAAATATGCATGTACAACATATAACTAGGTGATGATAGGAGATTTATAAAACGTTGAATATAGGACACTAGTTGTCGAACATATCACCAGGTGAAATAGCAATAGAATATGATTGTATTGAAGAGGGTTATACGCTTATGGAAATATTACTTAATACAATTTGTTAGAACACTGTTGGAGGACTAGGACTGTTTTCTGGTAAGTAACGTTCGCAATGAAACATATGGGTATACAGGTAGGCTGCAAAGAAAGTATCGGCAACTTCACCGATGTGCTTCAAACATCACTTCCAATTTGATAAGCAATTGGTCAACAAAATTTTGATCTTCAGCTGTGATTTTTAGCTGCCGATATTTGGTAAACATTAGTATCAGGTTTCCCCCAATATTTGGCTATTGTTTTAAATAATATGTCTAGGCACGAATGTTTAAAGGTCATCACTGTGAATCATGGGCATTCCCTTAAATGGATTATTGTGAACATGTAGGCTCCTTCTATTTTATACTGGATGATCGAGTGTTGTGTAATTCTATTAATGCCCTTTTTAGAAAACTTGACCTTGTAAGGATGTTCTCTACTAAGTCGATAACTTTGCTGCTGCTGGTGACTATTGAAATTATTGAGTCTTCAGATGGGGTGAAGGTAGGTCCAGAAACAAATGTGTCGTTTTTTGTTTTATTTTATTTATTAAATTTATTTAATTTTTTTTTTATAAAACCAACAACAGAAGTAAGGAACTTGGGTGTTATTTTTAATAACAAATGTGAAATGACATCACACATCAACAAAGTATGTAAAACAGCATATTTTAGTCTCCAACAAATATCCAAGATCTGTCACCTTATTAACACCAAGCAAACTGAATTACTCATCCATGCATTTGTAACTTCTAGACTGGATTATTGCAATAGCCTATTGTTTGGAATACCTAACTATCAAATGGAAAAGTTACAATCAATTCAGAACTCTGCTGCTCGTCTCCTCTGTAAAGCTCAGAAGTCCGAACACATCACACCAATTCTGCGAAACCTCCACTGGCTACCCGTGTCTCAACGAATAGTTTTTAAAATATTACTTTTGACTTTCAAGATTTTTAATGACGACTGTCCATTTTACTTAAACTCTACCATAGAACTTTTAACTCCTATCAGATCACTTCGATCTAGTGGACAACTTCAACTTACGCGAAAAGACACCAAAAAGACTCTTAAAACATATGGACACAGAAGTTTCGAGATTTGTGCACCGATTTTATGGTCTAATTTTATCACAAGATCTAATGTGTCTCTGGATGACTCATATTACTGTTTTAAGAAGAATTTAAAAACTTTTTTATTTAAAGAATACTTTAATTTATAGCATCTTCTTAGTTTTTAAATTTTTTAAGTTTTCTGTTTTAGTTTATACTGGCTTTAATTTATCTGTGGAGTTTTAATTTTTTATGTAAACAGCGCTGAGACGCATGTGTAGCGCGGTTTTAAAGAAGTGTTTTATTATTATTATTATTATTATTAATTTGTTAAAACATTTGCTTGACTAGGATAAGGCTGTGAGAAATGTATAGCACATAATACCAAATGAACACTAATAAGTAAATGGGTAAACATATGAGTTAAGGACAGGGGTGAGCTTTTACTTTTGCAGTAGAATCAATGTACATGTAAAACCAGAATAAATGTTTCAAGCGTAATTTTCAATAAGTAGGAAAATGTGCTGGCAAAAGGCATGAAAAGTCTTTTATTCATTTTTTAGGACCTCAACGGAATCTTTAGTTCGTATTTTATTTTAAAGTTAAAAAAATTTTCCGATATTATCGACGTTGATGAAGATGGTACGGTAACTAAAGAATAATTAATTGATCTAACAGTGAACAGAGCTCAACAAATCCTGCCACCTTGGAGAGTAATGGCAGTGTGTGGCATCTTGTCCAGCGGCTATAAAATCTGGTGGTCAAACAACTATAGCACCTATAAAACATCTATTACCTTTGAAGAAATACTTCGTGCTGTGAAGAAGGAAATTCCTACAACAAAAAAGGCAGAAGTCAAAATTGCTTGTGAGTGGTTTCACACAATCGATCTTGACTGTGATGGCAAATTAACATTAGAAGAGTGTTCCAACTTTCTTGCAATCTTCCGTAATACAGCTGAGGTTCAAGATATATTAGATGCCATAAACCGCAAAAAAGATGGCATCATTGATCGATTTGATTTCGTATATGGATACACGCATTTTTGGTATGACCAACAACCCAGTCCTGCCGCATACATGATTGACGAATTAGATAAAACAAAATGATGTGATTCCACCGTTTCTATTTGGAATGCAATTACTTATGACAAAAAGTTGGAAGAAATTATACGACTTACCAATTAACTTTTTAATTGATACAAATAATAATTAAGCAAAATATTTTCCTCCCGGTTTAAAAGTTACACTGCATTCCCATAGATTTAATATCGATCTATCCCCGTGGGGAGTCTCACTAGATTACTATCAATTTAGCCAGCTTAAATGTCTGTCCCGCCTACTTAAAGCTGTAAAGGGGTAATCAACTTCCGTGCGCGCTCGGCTGACAGCGATTTAGCGTGAACCCCCAGGGAGTTAGACCGATCCAGATGGATCGATCTAAATCTGTAGGAATGCAGTCTCAATTACATGTACTTTCCGTTAATTAAATAATAATCCGTCTTGGCGGATGTCTGCGTTCTCTTACTACTTTGAAAATATTTAAAGGCAGTGTAATCATTTGGGGGGGGGGGGATAAATGACGTGCCATTTAATTAAAAAACCTTTAAATACTTGATCTGCAAAATAGAAGATATGGTTCCAGATCAAGAGACGCTGGAAAGAAAACAGGTAACCACTCCATGAGCAAAGCAGCAAATGGATATATAAACCTCTGTATTGTAAGAAAAATAAAGACCTCTGAATGGATGCTTGAAATTTCAACCCACCATTCTAATGGTATACACACGATGTAACATAATAGCGAAAACATTTGCATGACAGCATAATGACCCTTTTTCTTGGAAGCCCGTATGAATATGTAGTATGTTGCTTACATTTAGTTAAACAAAGCTAGGCTTTGAAAGCATCTGGCGTAATGGGATTGATAATATGAGGAATAGGGGGCATGAGTACGTGACAAAGCAACTTTATCTGGAATACAATTCAATATTATTGCAAATAAAACACTACGCTTCCTTAAAACTCCACGTGTCAGTCAAGGTACAGACATCTCACAGAATTGTACGACAGAAAGCTGGTAAGGCACATACTGTTTAATAACATTTGGGGGTGATATTATGTCAGATTCAGGACTGAACAGTTCCATAATACCCAGGCATAAATTTTTAATACGAGCTACCAATTCTCAGAGTTTAATTGTACAACTAATGTGCTATGAGTTATAATAAGTGTATTCTTTTCCATAACAGTATTATTATTACCTTTAAACGTGTTTAATAGATGTGGTAGATACATCTAGGTGTAAATTGTAAAAAGGAACCAGATCATTTCTTTTAAAGGGGGACTTAAATAAATCATATTTCATACTGGTTGATATATTTTAGTTATGTTGATTCCCTTGTTTTAGAAATCCTGGTAGTTTAGACTTTGAAATAATGTCATCCATTAAGCTGATAAGTCTGCTCCTACTGGTTGCTGTTCAAACTGTCGATTCTTCAAGTTCTGTGAAGGTAGGTCCAGAAAATCGTTTGTTTTTATTGTTCTTTTATTGAAACAAGCTTAGACAGTTGATAGAAAGGCAACACGGTTCTTAAATTGCAGGTAGTTGTGTTGGGATTTTCTGCTAGTCTGAAATCTTTTAGTGTGTTTATTGGATAAGAGAAAATATTTTTCTTGGATGGTGACTTAACGTGTGTGTAAAAAAAACAACAACAAAAAACAAAACAAAACAATTTTGATATTTTCATAAAACCAATATTTTTTCGGCAAAATCAATGACTTTTTTTTAGAAAAATACACCTGATCCAAACAATTACAGCATCTCATATGTTCGTTAATTAAGCCGAAACCAAATCATTTCCCAAATATTTAAACAGGATATATGCAAGAAAATGTCATATTTAAATATATGATAAATAAAATATATCCAGGACTCATTTGAAAACCAATTTTTATATGTCCTTTTAAAAGAGTCTTTCAACTTTCAAAGAGATAAGTTCCTAATTGGAAAGATGGACAAGGATGGGTCATTAAAGATAATTTCTTCATATTTCAGAACACCAAAGGAAAATTTAGTTCCTACTATATCACCAAGTTAAAAGAATTCTTTAATATCTTCGACGTTGATGAAGATGGTGTTGTTACTGAAGAGGAATATGTTGGTTTAACAACGGAACGAGCTCAAAAAGTTCTGCCGTCTTGGAGAGCTATGGCGGTGAATGGTATATTTTCCAATGCCTTTCGGGTCTGGTGGTCAAACAAATACTCCAACTATGAAACAGTCTTCACTTTGCAAGATATGATTCGTGTTCACGAGATAGACATGCCTATTGAGACGAAGGAGGCCGCCGAAATCTCATCTGATTTGTTTGGCACATTTGACATTGACTGTGATGGCAAGTTGACAGTAGATGAGTATTCCAAATTCCTTTTTGTTTATCGCAACGCGGCTGAGATTCAACCAATTTTTGATGCAATTGATCAGAACGCAAATGGCGTCCTTGATGCAGATGAATTTAAAAGTGCACACGATCTCTCTTGGTATCGACAGGAGTTTAGCACCACTGATATAGTTTTCGGTAAGCGGTACTGATGCAGTCGGCAATGGTCTACGAAAAGTCTACGATTTCCCTTTGGCTTTTAGATTCCAGCTGAAGTCTTTTAGAAATCTACTGTCCCTTTGAAATGTTTGAGATGCACATTGATTACAACGAGATTTAAATATGTTATACAGGGATGTTTGCTGACATAGAAAAATTGACATGTTCGCATAGAAATCACGTTGTATTGTTTCTTTAATTTTCAATATTACTCTGAACTGTTTCAGTGAAGTAAATAAAAAATAATATTGTCTTTTCTTTTTGCTGGGTATATATTTGGAATAAAACATCAAATCCTCCTCTTTGATTCTTATCTATTTCAACATGACTAACCAATTAAACGGATGTTTTTAGAATATATTTAACAATGCATGTATCTTATCTATAATAACATTGATACCAGTGGATTAAAGCTGCACGTGAGCTGTATGTGAAAAACAACAGTATGGCAGCTGATTTTATTTAAGATAACCGTTACTGACGAAGTTGGTGATGACAAAGAAGTAATCTGTCCATTAAGTTTTAGCTTTCAGATAACATGTTACTGATTTCCGATGTTGATGTTTGCATCTTTTCGGTGCTTGTAGGCCGTAATCTAAAGCCTGAGAGATTCTTTTAACTCCCACAACAGGCGGCTAGAAGGTTTCTTCAGAACTAATATTATGGAGTATTTTGCCACCGGAATCCTTCCACGAAAGCTGCACAAGAAAACAGTGTTCAATTTCAAACAACCGCGCTAAGTAATGCAAGGATACAGCGCGTAGGGTAAAACTTGGTGGTGCTCAGGACGCATTGTCTAATCATAGGACGCAATTGGGCGTAAATCTGCATATGCATGAATCACACTGTGACCTAATTCAACCCAATGCACAATATTTAATTGCCTTAGTTGTACAATCAGAAAAAAAGTAATTGTGAAAAAATCAATTTTCAAGTTTAATAAAAAAAAAACCAAAAAAACATTGGTTCATGATATGATTTTCTATATCACTCTACGCATTACATTAAAGGTGCCACTTTGTTAGGTTCTCATATATATATATATATATATATATATATCAGATCAGCTGTGTGATATATATATATATATATATTGGTCAATTTGCCTCGAAACAGTGCCACAATAAGGATACAAGAAGTCAAAATTGCATTTGATAGCATTGTTTCACACAGCTGATCTTAAATGGGATGGAAAATTAACATTGTTACTGGGTATTTGTTAGAAAAGTAGGTAAATCTATAGCTGCTTGAAATTCTATTACTCAAATGGTATAAGAATGATGTAACATACTTCATGTAGCAAGGAAATGTGCCTCTTTTTAGGTAGCCCGTATTAACGTGTAGTATGGCGCTTACAGTTGATTACACAATGTTAAGCTTTGAAATCCGCGGGCGAAATGGAATTGATAACATGAGAAATAGGGGGCACGAGTACGTGACAAAGCAAATTTATCTGGAATACATTTCAGTTTTATGGTACTTAAATATACTGCCCTCCTTCAAACACCACGCATCAGTCAAGGTGCAGATTTCTTAGGGAATTGTAGGACAGGGAACTGGTACGGTATGTATACTGTTCAATAACATTATCAGATACTACTATGAAAATGGTACCCCTTGTCTTTTCACTTAGCACTCAGCTCATAGAGGATGAAGCTGAAGTTAAGGGTTGTCATCATAGTAGTGCTGGTTGTTGTAAATGGTAAGTCCGAGCGCCGTATGTGCAGCATCTTAGTTTTTATGTACAGACACAGCATATATGCAACCCTGTAAACACATTTTAAGGAAAACCGTTAGGCCTGTTGTCATGAAACTCACAGGAGTAATCAGCCTTACTAAAACGCAGGTCAAGTTCGGAAATCGGCATGATCAGGCCACTATTTTAGAAGTTATGCTGTTTTTTCATTTTTCAGCATATATGCAACACTGTAAACACATTTTAAGGAAAACCGTTAGGCCTGTTGTCATGAAACTCACAGGAGTAATCAATCTTACTAAAACGCAGGTTGAGTTCGAAAATCAGCATAATCGGGGCATTATTTTAGAAGTTATGCTGTTTTTTCAAATTTCCTCAGATTCAACTCTTAGGCATGTTAACAGTCTCATTATTGAATTAATAAGATACGTAAAAGTGTTTATTTGACATTTCCTGCATCTTTACAACATTGTTAGTTGATTATGTAAAAATGATGGTAAACTTGTTATTGTGTATTGTGTAATAAAGTGTCAAAAATGGAAATAAACTCATATCATTGCCTTTTGTCAAATTCAATCATTCAGTATGTTCAGAATCTCAGAATTGAGGAAATTGGACATTTAACACTGTTTTTTTTGATAATTTTCCCATCTCATCAATTTTCTTAGTTGATCATATAAAATTGCAGTAAACTGTTTATTGTGTTTTATGTTAAAAAAAGTGTTAAAAATGGAAATAAATCCATGTCAGAACAGTGCTGTCTTGTTTACATTTTGGCATTTTCAAGGTGTGACTTTGAATTTCCATTGGCCTGAAGACCTTTGCTGGTCATGTTTTCTGAATGTCCATGTTACTAATATTTTATTATTAAAAATTGATGGTCATTATGCTGTTAAACATTATGTAATGTTGCATCAAATTTTGAAGAAACCCCTATTTTGGGCACTGCTCCCATGATGACCATTTCAGAAAAACCATGTCACTTACTGTTCTCAAACTTACAGGAAAGAAACATGGGACTAAAATACAGCTTCAGTAGGCAATGCAGTCTGTTTGGTAATTCTTTCTGCCAGTTAAACATTTTTATGTCTCCTCCATCTCAGTGTACCACAAACTTTTATAGTCTCATTCATAGCAAGAAAGAAGGTAACAAGGAATATTGTTTGTTCGTGATTTGGCCAAACCAGGCCGCTTTTATTATATAACCCCTCTATCCTAATCGTTTTAACAATAATAACAATGTAGCAAATTGTTGCCTGTATTAAATGTTATGGCCTTAGGGATAAAAATTATATATCAAATATTCAATGAGACTCATCATCCTAAAAATTATGATGCGACGAGTCAGCAAAAGTTATTATTTACCAACAATTTTGCACAAATTTCATTTGTGGGGTTGCAAAGAGGCCATAACCTTGACTGGTGCCCAAATGCACTGGGCAAGGAAAACCCCACAAAGGAGAGAATGAAGTAGTCCAATGCAGTTTGGAGAACAATGAATTTCCACAAAAATAATGGCTATTAGTAAAAAGAAAATGAGTAAGTAAATGAATTATGAAAGCATGCATGCACATACACACACTTTTGATAGTGGGGAAAAAGATAAATAACCCTGTTAAGAAGGCATGCCTATTGACCCGTCACAGTAGGGAAGAAAGTATAAGTAAATAAACAAATATGTCATAAAAGCATGCCAATCAACCCGACGTAGTGGGGAGGATAATATAAATAAATAAATAAATAAATAAATAAATAAATAAATAAATAAATAAATAAATAAATATGTCATAAAAGCATGCCACTCAACCCGATGTAGCGGGTGAGGAAAATATAAATAAATAAACAAGTATGTGCTAAAAGCATGCTGCTCTACCCAACATACTGATGAGGAACGCATAAATAAATAAATAAAGAACTATGTTGGAAAAGCATGCTGTTAGTCCCGATGCAGTGGGAAGTAAAATATAAATAAATAAACTGCCTGTGGCATAGAAAGATGCCAGAAAAAATAAGATGAAATGACATTAATGCTGTATGAGAAAAATAAATAAATAAATAAATAAATAAATGAAATGGAGAGGTCTGAAACTGTGCAGCATGCATGGTGTATAAGGGGCCTGAAGAGGCCTTAATCTTGGTAGGAAACAAATTGGCTCTAAAAGGGGAGAACTGGTAAAGGAAATGTAGCTTGACCTTGAGAAGGACATAATTTGGTAACGAAACGAATGTATGTAAGGCTCTGTAAAGGCCGAAATCTACTAAAGAAGCTGGTTTAGAAACGAATGTGCAAGATGCCCTGAAAAATTTGTAAACTGGTAAAAAAAAGGTGAACATTGGCCCTGCAAAGGACAGAATCTGGTTAAGAAACGAATGTGCCCTGAAAAGGACAGAATCTGGTGAAGAAACGAATGTGCCCTGAAAAGGGCAGAATCTGGTTAAGAAGGAAGTGTACCATAGCCTTGAAAAGGTCAGAGAATGGTAAAGAACACAACATACATAGACCCTGAAAAGATCAGAAACAGGTAAAGAAAGGTGAACCTTGGTCCTGAAAAGGACAGAATCTGGTTAAAAAACGAATTTTCCCTGAAAAGGACAAGATCTGATTAAGAAGGAAGAGTACCATAGCCTTGAAAAGGTGAGAAACTGGTAAAGAACACAACAATACATAGACCCTGAAAAGGTCAAAAACTAGTAACTAATGTGAACCTTGGTCCTGAAAAGGACAGAATCTGGTTAATAACGAATGTGCCCTGAAAAGGACAGAATCTGGTTAAGAAGCGAATGTGCCCTGCAAAGGACAAGATCCGATTAAGAAGGAAGTGTACCGTAGGATTGAAAAGGTCAGAAACTGGTAAAGAACACAACATACATAGACCCTGAAAAGATCAGGAACTGGTAAAGAAAGGTGAACATTGGTCCTGAAAAGGACAGAATCTGGTTAAAAAAACAAATGTGCCCTGAAAAGGAGAGAATCTGATTAGGAAGGAAATGTACCATAACCTTGAAAAGGTCAGAAATTGGTTAAGGACACAACAAACATAGACCCTGAAAAGGTCAGAAACTGGTAGAGAACACAACGTACATAAACCCTAAAAAGGTCAGAAACTGGTAAAGAAAGGTGTACCTTGGTCCTGAAAAGGACAGAATCTCGTTAAAAAACCAATGTGCACAAGGCTCTGAAAAGAAGTACGTGTACCTTGGCCTAGAAAAGGTCGGGATCCGGATAAGAGAGCAAATGTGTATGAGGCCCTGAAAAGGACAGAATTTGTTTAACAAACTAAAGTGCACAAGGCCCTG